ACTTTCCAGCTTTACTCAGGTGCCGTTCCGTTCATTTTTTCAGGCACGAACGGGCTTCTGAGTACAATTGCAACTACGTAAGAAATAGGTGTATTTGTGAAATTAAATAAAAGGGTATATTTTAGTTTTTGGAGAAGTATGGAATACAGTTTTACTTAACATGATAAAATCCTATATATTTCACTCGCCATTCCGGCTCGTGAAAATATATGGAATGTTATCATATTTCGTAAAAATATATTCAACATTTCACTCTAACGAAAAATATTTTAATATTAAATAAATGCATTTTTTCATTTTTCGTATTTTCACTGTAAAAAGTTATTTTTTTCACTGCAGTGAATAATATTTTCACTTGTCTCTTGCTGGACTACTGTCTCCTTAATTCTACCAGTTCAGAGAATTTAAGGAAAAGTCTTTCCAATAGAAAAAAAGGTATATAATAAACAGAAAATTCACGTTTTTTTTATAAGTACAGAATTTTTTTTTCATATTGTGGAATGAAAATTATTATACGGAACTTCTGGCTACCGCCACACATAAAATATTCATTTTCATACCACTTTCATACCAAATTGTTGTTTTCTTTCTGATGACTGAAGGATGGACGAACGGATGAACAAAGGATGAAATGCGATTTTCACTGGTAAACTTCTATGCAAACGGCAACAAACAATGCTGATATTGGTTTTAAAACACGATTCTCATCTATAAATATGTCAAATTGCCGTTAAGACAAAACTGATTTATTTAGCAGTATTTATGCTGCTGACCGTTCAAAGGCGGCGCCCCTCTGTGTTCCTCAGATGTTTGTCTATGTTGTTTTACACTGTTTCGTAGATACTTTTGTGTCTCTTGTTGCTTTCTCTTCTACGGTAAGTATCTTCCCCTTTGCCCCTAGTTTTTATTTATCCCCCTTCCCCGGGTCTCATGACCCCTTCCCCTGTGCCTTAAGGTTTCAAATAGTTATATCCAAATTTTTCAAACAGCATTAAAATACATATGTAGCAATTCTGAATCAGAACTTTATTAACTTTTTTGGATTTTTTTTTTTGTATTAAGAGACAAAAACAAATCATTTGCGTCACATGGATGTCCGGCCGATATCGGTCCTACATCGGCAAACCCCTGCCGATATACCATCATCCTTTCGATATCGGCCCGATATGGTTCTGTTTGTTGAGTTATGACTTTTTGATGAGTTTTTCTCTATTTTATGGTCACATCAGTGTTATTTGTGCCATGTGGCGGCCGTAAAAAGTCTTCCCGAACTCAAAAGTACTGAAAATATTTTTATGAAACTTGATATATGGATAGATAACAGTATGGAGATTATGCACGTCTTTTTCTTTTCTTCCTATGTTGAAAATTCTGGTTGCTAAGGCAACAAATATTCTGAAAATATGGCAAATTTAACACATAAACTGGATCCAGTGATAACTCAAAATGTACAGAATTTTTTTTATGAAACTTTAAAAATGGGTAGATGACAGCCTGGATATTATGCAAGTCTTTTTCTTTTCTTCCTATGTTGAAAATTCTGGTTGCTATGGCATCAAATAGACTTAATTTTAAGATTTCTGATTTAACTTTTTCAGCTTTTTCACTATAAGTTCTTTTTTTCTTACGGTGTTTACTTCAAACTTTAAATACAAGTTTTTGGTTATCAACCACATCATATGTGACAAGGTTTACAACTCTAGCATAAAAATTATCAGTATTACCTCCCTTGAACTTAGAATTTTTATGAAAAAAAAAAAATTCTTTTTTAAATAACTACTTTATTTCCTCATGTATCTACTTCAAACTTTATATATATGTTTCTAATTATCACTCAACATTTTTGAGAAAGTTAAATACTCTAGCAAGACTTTTTCCAGAATTATGTCCCCCTTGAACTTAGATTTTTTTCGAGAAATTTGTATTTTTACTCCAACTTCTTATTCCTTATAGTTTTTACTTTAAAATCCCCATATGACAAGGTTGTATAAATATAATTTCTTTACTAGGCAGGGAAACTTAACACATTACTGTGATATAGACACATAGAACTCAAAAGATTTAAGTTCATTCATGTCATTCATTCACTGGTAAAATTGAATGGCCAAATGGCCCATCAGAATGTTGCTGGGGTTCTAACCGGTAGATGACTTATGGATTGCTTGCAATACTATGATAATTGCTTATTTTGACACGTTTTCCTAATACATGCATATATAAATAAAAAAATGTTAGATTATAAAGTATAATGAACTTTGTTGTTGTTATACCCCCGAAACGAAGTTTGGGGGGTATATAGGAGTCACCCGGTGGTCTGTCGGTCGGTCATGCGGTCTTGCACTTTCCCTGTCCGGAGCATAACTTGAAGACTAATGGTTGGCATTCAATATCACTTCATACAATGGTCAAGCACATTGAGAGGAAGTGCAGTGCACAAGATTCGTACATCCATCTTGACTAATTACAGAGCTATTGCCCTTGTTACTTTTTCTTGTGTAGAGCAAACTTGAAAACTACTAGTTGGAATTCAAAACAACTTCATACAATGGTCAAGCATAATAAGGGGAAGTGCAGTGCACAAGAACCATAACTCTATCTAAAGTAATTACATAGTTATTGCCCTTAGTTACTTTTCCATTGCTTTATTTTGTCCGGACCATAACTTGAAGACTTATAGTTGGATTCAATATAACTTCATACACTGGTCAAGCACATTGAGAGGAAATGCACTGTCCAAGAACCATAACTCCATCTTGACTAATTACAGAGTTACTTCCCTTTGTTACTTTACTTTGTCCGGAACATAACTTGAAAACTATTGGTTGGAATTCAAAACAATTTCATACAATGGTCAAGCATAATAAGGGGGAGTGCAGTGCACAAGAACCATCTCATACAATTTTGACATTCCTAAGAGACAAGTAAGTCAAAAGAAAATAGGCCAACATTCTAGACTACAGAATGTCATCACGAGGCACCCAGCCAATACAGATTCTTTCCCACATTCGATATGGACTTAATAATGAACAGTGAAAAATAATTTGTTAACATGTAAATATACTTCAAAGTTGTATCATAGTATAAGTTAAAAAAATTGCTTATTTGATGTACGAGAGAAGATAGAATGGATGAGATTAATATTGGCTAAGATTATATTTGTCAGTCAGGTTATATTTTCCCGTTTTAAAAACCGTCCGCAACTTGTATAAGACAAATTCTTCTTTATTTTCTCAAGATAATAGAAGAATATCAAGAGTATAATGTAATACTTCTTCAACAAGCAATTATTATAGTATTGCAAGCAATCCATAAGTCCCCTACCGGTTAGAATCCCAGCAACATTCTGATGGGACATTGGCCATTCAATTCTACCAGTGAATAAATGACATGAATGAACTTATATCTTTTGAGTTCTAAGTTTGTCTATATAATGTGTTAAGTTTCCCAGCCTAGTAAGGAAACTATGTTTATACAACCTTGTCATATTATTACGATGTGGGATTTTAAAGTAAATCCAATCCTATAAGGAATGAAGAAGTTGGAGAAAAAAATACCAATTTCTCGAAAAAAAATCTAAGTTCAAGGGGGACAAAATTCTGGAAATAGTCTTGCTAGAGTATTTAACCTTCTCAAAAATGTTAAGTGATAATAAGAAACATTTATATTAAGTTTGAAGTAGATACATTAGGAAATAAAGAAGTTATTAAAAAAAGACAACATTTCTTTTTAAAAAAATCTAAGTTCAAGGGAGGAAATACTGATAATTTTTGTGCTAGAGTTGTAAACCTTGTCACATATGATGTGGTTGATGACCAGAAACTTATATTTAAAGTTTGAAGTAAACACCTCAAGAAAAAAAAGACATTATAGTGAAAAAGCTGGAAAAATTTAAATCAGAAATCTTGAAATTCAGGCTATTTGTTGTCATAGCAACCAGAATTTTCAACAAAGGAAGAAACGAAAAAGATGTGCATAATCTCCAGACTGCCATCTACCCATATTTCAAGTTTCATAAAAATATTTTCAGTACTTTTTGCGTTATCACCTGATCCAGTTTGTGGACGGACTGACTGACAGACAGACGGATGGAGGGTAAACCTAAAGTCCCCTCCGGTTAAACCGGTAGGGGACTAATTAAACCTGTTCAACAGGTAGCAACAGCAATTAAAGTATATAATATGCTATTCTGTGGTAAACATTCTCGCCCTCTGTGAGCCACACTCGCACAGAATTCACATGCACAAATATATACTCAAGTCGAATTGTTAGGAACATACACAAATAAATACTCAGGTCGAAGCAATACTTTATTCTTAATTTATAAAACATAAACTATACAAGTATGATTTTCTTGAATAAATACTTCAAACAATAATGCATACGTAATTGAATTAATAAAAAAAAACAATTTGAACACAGCTCTCCTCCATACTTAGAGACAAAAAAAAAGACATTTTACATATACAATTATTCAAAATCGTCTTTTGCAAATATCAAAACTCAGTTACTTTTACCAATAAAAATTACAGCTTTGATTGCGCTAAATGTGTGTCTCTGCCAAATTATGTGTATCTCCGGATGCTTAAGATTTAAAATGAAAATATAGTATGTATTTGGCTTGTTTTTATCTTGTTTGTTTTTTTTTTTTCGTAGAAAAACATTCTTGCGCTTTCGTTGTGGAACAATTCTCGTTACTCTCGTCAGTGTGTATGCGATGACATGAAATTGATAAAGAAATGACTGAAGGACGGACGAACAGATGAACAACGGATGAAATGCGATTTTTACTCGTAAACTTTAATCTACAAACGACAAGAAACAATGCTGACCCTAGTGGTTTTAAAACACGATTCTCATTTATAGATATGTCAAATTGCCGTTAATACAAAACTGATTTCATAAAATGTGAATCTAAACGTCAAAGGTGTCACGAATGTTTTGCAACAGTATGATGACGTCACTTAACGAAAAATAAAAGAAGTCAACTTTTTGTTAACAAGATATCGCCAAAGACCCGAATTCGTTCTGTTCCCTCTGACAGAGCATTTAAAGAAGTTCAATTTAAGTTTACGCGGGAACAGAGTTTACCAAGGGCTGCAGAGGAGAAATATCGCGACGATTTTTCTGACTTAAGCGATGAAGAATTAGAAGAGCTGGAACAAAAGCCAACAAATACACCAAAGAAGGAAACAGAAGAATTGACAGATGATATACGTACAATTTTGGATGAGAAAGAGGAAAATGATATAGAGTCAATGGTAGTATCAACCAAAAAAGGAGTGGACAGTACAAACAAGAAAATGAAAAACGAGGCGGAAACTAAGGTAAATTTTGAGTTTATTCTTTTAAGGGTTCTCCATGTTCTTGGCATAATAAGTACTTATTACTTCCAAAACACGAGAATATATATGTCACAACACAAGGATAACATTTTGTATGGAAATATCCTAACTAATGCTTTTATTTCAATATTATAGGTACATTAGTGGGTTATGTCTTTTTAAAATAAAGTTCAAATGTGCAATCATCAAACCTGTATCAAAACAACATAAGTGTATTAAGATACTCTGCAAATTCAAAGTATCTAATTTGTCCTTTGTTTGTTTACCAGATGACGGGTCATGTTCTTGCATTAGTTTTTTTGTCAAATAGTATCGGCGAACATGTGATTTGTTTTGTTGAATTTTAATTGTACATGTTTGAATACTTTAATGAAAGCGTCAGTACATTTGTAATACAATATCCATTGGAATTCCTCTTTTGTGAAGGAAAGTGAAGACACTTATAAAAAAGACCACGTGGTAAAAGAAGAAAAGGAAAATATTAAAACCACTTCACAAGAATCTGACAAAGGAAACAACAAGAAAAAGAAGAAGAGGAAGCTCCCAAGTTGTTTTGGTTTTATTTCCACGTGGATTGCTAAAAGGAAGGAGAAGCGCCGTGAAAAGAAAAGAAAAATATTAAAACCACTTCACAAGAATCTGACAAAGGAAATGACAAGAAGAGGAAGCCCCAAGTTGTTTTGGTTTTATTTCAACTTGGATTGCTAAAAGGAAGGAGAAAAGCCGTGAAAAGAAAAGGAAGGCTATAGCTAGCTGCGTCCCCACACCAACGCTAGGTAAGAATTACACTTAGTACTCAAGCACGCCTTGTTCGCATTTTGTGACACTTCAAAATATTATATAAATTATGTTTCCTGCTTCTAAGGTTATCATCGTCAACTTTTATTGAAAGAGAAAAAACGCAAAATATTCGACAGTGTACTGTAGTGAAGACAAGAATGGTTTTATTTTGAAAATACATTTGTATTTATTCAGATCAGTCAGTCGCAATAGTATTTCCATCTAATATTTAAGTTCAATATGAGCATAGGAAACCACGTGGCGGAGAGTCCTTTGCCATTGAGATAGATTGTAAACCAATAGTAATCAAGCCAATTTTGCCGCCAATTAAGACAGCTGACGGACCTATAAGTATAAATCCCATTTTAAATACTTAATATTTGTAGGTTTCCGTCTGGAAATATGTCTGACATATAATTGAAAATTATATACATGTATCATTTTTTTTAAGTTTTATATTTAACTGTGCTTAAGATATGTAATTAGAATGGTAATGGTTAAACACATTTGAATTTTGCCTTACGACCTCAACTAAATGATTTTTTTTTATTTAATCTCCAATGTAAAAAAACAGTATAGTTAATCCATGTATTAATCCCGCAGACATTGCTACAAATCGTTATCTGCATGTGGAAAGTAGAAATTGGAGCATGTTTCATTGTATTAAATCCATCGACGCTAGATAAGAAACGGGGAAAAAACATAGTATACCAAGTATTGACGAATATATTGTGGTGAAGCTTTATATTTCTTATGAAATAACTGTAAATTTCACAATGGCACTATATGGAAAATAAGGAATAGCCAACTGTCTTAGATTCGAAACTTTGAACTTGTATATGTTTTTTTTATATTATTACTATAGCTATATACAATTTAGAGATAATTGCCTTTATTGTGTGTAATATTTTACTGTCAAAATATTTTACAGATAAGCCTAGGATGTGACACTCGACAAGAGAAAGCTGAGGCAAAGAGAAACGAGAAACTTTCTAAAAAGAAAGTACTAGCAAGAGAGCACCAGAGAAAAAAGTAAGTTCAGTAATGTTGTCTCACAACAATTGGATTACATATACATGTACAAATAATTTCATAACTTATCTTCAAAAGAATGGTGTTAGCGAACACCTGATCTTAAGATAAGAAAATATCATATTTCATTCGCTTACTCATTACACATTTTCCATATGATAAATATCATTTACAAAAAATATATTTTTATAATCTACATCATTCAACGACATTGATAAACATTCCATTGACACAATTTCTTTAATAATTTGTAGAAATGAATGTAAGCAACGACAAGATGAGGCCGAACAGAGGTTCTGGGAAAAAGTTCGTAACAAGGCGAGATACCGACGGGCAGATGCTGAAAGAAATCGAAGCAGAATGTCGTCGCAAAGGTCTAGCATTAGCCGGATGTCAACAAGAGCATGCCGATCACTGGCACTTTCCTCCTTCTCCTCAGAAGAGTCGCTCGCCGACGAGGGCAATAAGAAAGCCCTCAAGGTCGGCAGCTCTCACTAAATTATGGGCGGTCGACACTCCCTATAAATATTAGGCCACATACATTTTGCTATAGTCACGTGATAGGACGTCACATATGTCAATGATCATGAGAAAACTCTTAACCCTCAAATATACATTTCTAATCATACCCTACTAAACATTATAATCACTGGTTTGTTATATATGAAGTTTCTTCTACATACATTTTAATAAAAATTCTTAACAAGTTGACAATATGACATATATCACCTTTTAACTTCATATATGTCTAGGGTAATACTTGGCGGCTATGTATATAACGATTTTAACACCATTTCTATAATCGTTGTACAGTATTGGCCAACATTTTGAAATGCATAAGGTGCACGTGCTCGGGTATGCCACATGGTCATTTTGTCATACATTGTGTAGTATCGATAGTTTATTGTTGTCAGTTTAATAAACCGATGTGAAATCAGAGTTGGATAACATGGGGCGCCGTCCTGGCTTGCCAGTAAATGATAGGAATATCGCGTTGGGATTGCTGGAAGGAGCTGCTTGGCTTCTGACATCGCATGACCTTTTGGTTGCAATGAACAGCTATTTATCATCTGCAACAGCATGTACGACAGACAGGCAGCGGTAATGATGGACCTAGGTCAGGGAGACCGCGCATAACAACGCAAAGGGAAGATAGGTACATAGTGACGTCATCACACTGTCCAGCTTCATGCACACGACAATATTCCAACAGCGTCTCGGAAAGGCTACGGGGACAGAATATCTGTTTATATCGCCTTGGTCAATATGCCATCTACGGATGAATATAACATCATATTCAATGGCTCAATAGTCAATAACTGTATAATGTTGTGATTGAGTGCTTAGTCTAAGATGGAAAGGATGTGAAGTGTATTTATCTCATATATTCTTATCACATACCCTTCCTAAATATTACAAAAGTAAATCTATGTAATATGTACAATTATGATACATAATAAAGGCATAAGCTACTGTTTACATAGGGACATACAGGCAGAATGAAAACTGTATTATTAAAATTTTCAAAAATTTAAGGGCAGATAACTTGAAAAACGAGTTTTGTTAACCCCTCATTTTTCACTTAAAAAATGTTTCTGTTATCATATTTTAATATTCGTGCAAAAAAGTTTTGACAAATTCTAATTCTATTTTCATTCTGCCTATATGTCTATATGAAACTGTAGCGCATACAACTTTCATATTATGCATGAAGATAAATTGCCTTTAACAAAAACAGTTCACATAGATATTTTATATAATTATAAATAACCTTGTCATCACGGTCATATTTAGTCAGTGTCAGGAGAATAATGCCTTTTACTTAAATAATACTTTATAGCAAAAATTACAATTATAAAACAAATTCACATATTTATCATATACAATTCAAATTGCATATTAATGTCACATTTACATGTAGAAAATAAAAATGTAATTAAATTTAACATACGGTATTTGGTGCTTTTATCCATAATTACCTTTTTGCATAAATAGAGGAGAAGGACCAACAAAAAGAAGATAATTAAAAAAAAAATCTCCAAGATTAAAAAATATCTGTTTTTGAGTCTGATTATAACTTGAGTAAAGTGTGATGAAAGTTTGGAGCTTACATGAACCACTTTGATATTTTGCTCTTGAATGGAAAAGTACACAAGTTTCAGATAAGTAAAGAAAGGCTTGAAAGTGAGCTAGTCAAAATATATTAACATGCCAAAGGAAATTCTGAAGATATTTTCGTTTACTGGGTCAAAATCTCGCTTTAAACAGAGAGGAGATAATGCTTATACACTATATAGCACAATATTCTCATCGAGTAGTACAATTGAGCAAACCTTTAGACACCAAAAACTAATGAAACTATTACTATAGACAAATACATTAATAAATTAAGTAAATCAAATATTTATGTATATATACAGTATATCTTTGCAATATAACAGACTTACATATCGATATTACATCATAATAAATGAAGAAAAAAACCTACATATTTATTTTTTTAACATTTTTTTCCTGAGTTTTTAAGTCACACCTAAACTATAATGATCATATGGCCACTTTCCAGCATTACTGGTGGAGGAAGACCTCAAGTGCCCCTCCATGCATTGCATTTGTATTTCATGCACAAGTGGGTACCTAAGTAAACAAAAAAAAAATAAAAAGAAGTCATATATAAAGAGTTCAATGAAATATTGTCATGACTCAAAAACCTTACAGTTCAAGTATAACAGTATGGCACTAAATCTCTTAACCGTCATTCCATTCACTTGGAAACGTTTGCTGTCATGCTTAAATTAGGTCAAAGGGGCAATTGTAGTAACGAGAATGACATGCTGCCAATAAATATCTTGTCAAAAGTACGAAGGACATTTTTCTATGACCCTTAAAAAAGAAAAACTTATAGGCCTAATACAAAACATAACAGGAAAAACCTAACTGTAATTTAAGAAGAAATGAATCAATTTACATCTCTTTATTATATTTAAAAAATTGATATGGATAGATAGGGACAATAAAAGCCTGCAACAATTAAAGGAGAAAAGTTTAAAGAGGATTTAAGAAAAAATTAATGCACAAAAATAGATTTAAGAGCTGAATACAACTAACAGGTGAATATAAATAATCTTTTACAGAAAATTTGAGTCCTATTCAAATTTAGTCAAATAACAAACATGTTCATGTAAAAACATTCAAATAAGACTGATGCTCCTGGTATCTTGTTTATAATAGCAAAACAAAAATTCTCTCGAAAAATACAGTGTGTCCAAAGATACAATCTAAAATAACTGATCACCTCTATGTCCTACTTCTTCGACAAATGAGATGCTCTAAATATGAAATTTTCTGTCTACTTACATTAAACTTTGACCAGTTTATCATTTAAAGTCACACCTATTTGGATAATATACCTTCTAATAAGATAATATAACATCTTGAAAAGTAGGTCAATGACTAAGTCAGACACTGATAAGAAAAACACTTTCAACAGCTAGTGGGTTCTTCCTACCTTCTTTTGGCTGTTTGAATTGTTAAATATTTTCTTATAAGCGTCTAAATCTTATATAATTCCTTTTCTTATAAATCTAAACACATGACTGAGACTTTCTTAATCAAAAATAAAAATGAAGAAAAGAAAAGGTAGATTTGAATATAATCATGGCAGTTTTAAATGCAAGGTAAATGCTGTTGTGTAATGAACACTTTTGGTTCAAACCCAGTCCTTTGGGTTCTTTAGAACGTCTGTTAACTTCTGTTCAGGGGATCCTGGTTCTATCTTATGACAGTATTCCCAACTCTGAAATACAGTATAAATATAAACTGTGTATAGAGAAATTCAACACAATGTTTCCTTACAGGTCATAGTAATTTTTATAGTCATATTTTTTTTCTTATTTCTTTTTTTTTAAAGACAAATTCCTCTTTCTTTTACAGTACACATTATGCTGTTCAAGAGAAGTGAGCTTGGATAAGTCATCAAGCATAACCTTAAAAACAGTTTCAGAAGGAAAGTGAAGCGGTGAAGCCTTATGAAAATTTCTGGTGCAAACATATTATACATTATTGTGTGTCAAACTTGCAAATACGTGCAGATATTTCCACAACATACACCATGGGAAAATACAGTCCCAATGTATCAAAATACAAATTTGACATAGGAACCCCAATTTCCTAAGTAATGCTTAATATCCTTTATCATTAATTCTTTGTTTTTTGCAACAAATAAAAAATGCCAACTTTTCTACATTTATCAGCAATGAAGGATCAGGAAGTATTGAACATTTCAAGCCTTCAACCATGTTGTCACAGCAACATGGGTAATCTGGATTATAAACTTGTTATATAATGTTCCAGAATTTAACTTACAGCATTCAGTGGTAGAGACATCATAATACTTTCTATTCTCGCACCAGGCGTCTGAAGTCCGAACTTCGTTCCCCTGTCATACACCAAGTTGAACTCTGCATAATAACCTCTGCGAAGAAGCTGCCATCTCCTGTGGTAAAAATAAAAGTTTACCTGAGCACTAATATGTATCTCTGTAGAAAGTCACTGAAAGTACTGCTCGGTGAATTTCATAGAAAAACAGTGTTTGTCAACTAACCCTTTTTTTATAATGCAGAAGTAACATTAAAAAGTTAATATATTTTAAAAAGGACAACAAAATAAAAAACTGCAGGTAAGTTCAAAATCTGGAACATGTTATTTTTTTGCCCTTCGGGTGTGTGAAATATGAAGATTTTGCCATGACATGAGTGTTTGAAAGAAGACTGAATGCCAGTGCTAGGGGGCGTGAGAGATGTTTCGCATAAACATTATCTCTTATGAACAGACTCAATCAAACGGAGTCTGCAATTTTTATATAATATTGTAGTTTTCAGTGCTTCCGAGGGCTCCTCTAAATTACAACATAATTACTCGTTTCCTTAATTTAGCTGACCAAAAGACAGTTTATTTTTCTATTTTTTACTTTGGCTAAATGTCACACTGATAATGTTATGATTATATTTTAACAGTATAGGGAAAGACGTTAGACATGTCTCTATGCATTATATCAGAAATCTTGAAAGTAGATCTAGTACAACCGTCCACAATCAAGATGGGCAACTAAGTTTATAGATCACTGACCCTAATGTCAGCATATATGTGAACCACCATATTTGTATTTTCTTAAAAAATGAAAAATCAATATTAAAGGTGAATATCATGGACTCATATTGTCAGAAAGCCTTACCTATTCTTGTAGGAGTACCCTTTATTTTTGTTTTTCTTCACCAATGGAATGTATGAAGGCATGACTGATGATGCGCAGGTCTGTAAATATAATATTTTAATAAATAAATAAATATAAATTAGTTATAATATCAATATTATTAATCAACAAATATAAATAATACCAGAAACATATTTAACCATTGTGAGTCATCTTTAAGAATTCCATATATATTATCTGTCTATGAATTCTGTGCTTATTCTTAAAGCTGCATGCCTCAAGATGAGCCAAAATATTTCATGTAGTAAATCAAACTTGAGAAAAATGTATTAAGATTTTAAGAAAAGTAAAATGATTCAAGATTCAATTAATGATTTACATGTTATGTACGATTAATGATTGATTTTGCAGCATCACTCACCATAATTCTACTGTGTTTCTAATGCAGTTAAGGGTATTTTTTAGCATATTTTGACCTCTTTTTGGCAGAGATGTAGATCTATGTCTCTATTTTTGGTAATTAACGTGGCTTGCAAGGGCCATTTGCAGTGTGTGAATTAGGCCTACTTTACATGTTCATAATTTTCTTTTAAATTCATTTTCAAATTTTCATGAAAATTAGCATAAATCTTGAGGCATGCTGCTTAAAACTTGATTGGGAGCACTTTATATCACTACTAACATATTCTATGTATGAATTAGTCCTTATCATTCTTATCATTTCCGTATGTTTCTAAGAATGAAAAGGACTAAGTTTCACTGATTAATTCTACACGCATTTGCTGCTGTACCTTTTCTTAAAGTACACATATCTATCAAAGTGTAGTCAACGATAAAAGTCAATAACAATTAGGTCAATCTGCAATGTTTATAGGTAAAGCTACGTATGCAAATTAGCACATTGAATTTATGTGATATTGACGTAGATGCAATACATGTATAGTAGTATAGTACATGTATCTTGCAAAACGTCTCTTTGGTAAATACATTTTTATTTCATGATAAATAATTACATAAGTTTTGTCAGGGAAGATGTTTGACAAAAACGAAGTTTCTTGAGTGATATCTTCAGTAAGAGGAAAATATTTAACAAGACATAAATCAAACTTACAGAAACAAATTTAAAAGTATCTTCAGCAGAGCCGTCATCCAAATCATCAAAGAAAATACCACCAACACCGCGAGACTGACCTGTAACATGTCATACTAGACAGATTAAAATATAAGATTTCCGTAGTGAAATAAATGCCCAAACTCGCCCAACACAGTGAAACTGAAAATGTTAACAATACTCATAAATTGAACACCTCAAAATTTACATATATATGAAAAATTAATCATATAAAATCATAGATGAAATTGTACTTCAGAAAAGTTCATTAATACCAGTATCAAAATGTTAATATCTCATGTATATTTATAATACATTCTTATTTCATTAAAAGTTCTTCCTGAAAAGGAATCAATCTAATGAAGTTTTTGATTCTATGCATAATCTTTTAATGGCTGAAAAATGCTTGAGTGGAATTATGAAACATTACACTTTATACTTTACTTCTGTACTATTTTGGGCAAAAATATAATCCTATTTTCTACAGATATATTGGTTATTTCATAAAATATAATGTAAAACCATTTTTAGGGATTTAGTCCTAGCCCTTTAAATAATTGTGCTAGATAATTCTTTCATGTCATCTTATCCAATAACAAGAGCTGTCGGTAGGACAGCACGCTCGACTATTCTAAGTGCTTGATAGTAAAAGAGCCTTGATAATGTTAAATTTTTTAAGTTCACAAAAGGGCTAATTTTTTTTTATAAATTCATGTTATAGGCCTTAGAGAGAGTCTAATTATACAGTATTGGCTTGACTATTCGGAAGGAAATGTCACAAGGGTGTTTTATTGAGTATAATAATATTAATTACCTATGAATACATAAATTTGACAGAAAAGGTACTAAGGCTTGTTATTAAGATGTTTTATCAAGTAAATCACTGCTTTATTATCATGAATGCACAAAATTGTCCCAAAAAAGGCACAAACCCTTCAGTAGTTGTTGATATAACAGCTTACATGCAAAACTTTACCATGAATTTCTAAGTTGAAAAAAGGGGAGAAATCCGCCTAAATGCAAGATAGAATTATGGATCTTTGTCAGTGACCTACAATTATGACCCTAAATCATATGTGAAGTTTTAAATAAATATCTTTAATAGTTATTGAGATATGTAAAACTTGCATGTAAACATTAACCAAGAGACTAAGTAGAAAAGGGGATATGAATCAGCCTTAATGCAAGATAGAGTTATGGAACTTGGTCAGTGACATACAATTATGACCTTCCAATTATGACCCTAAGTGCATGTGTAAAGTTTCAAGTAAATATCTTTGAAAACCTTTAACCAAATTTATAAGTTTCAAAGGGGCAAATAATTCTGCAAATATTGCAGGCAGAGTTATGCAATTTTGCAAACTGATGTACATTGTTACTATAAAAAAGTATTTTAAATTTCAATTGAATATCTCAAGCAATAATTGAGATATTTGACTTTACAAAAAAACTTTAACCAAAATTCTAAGTTCCAAAGGGGCATAATTTTGTCAAAATTGTAGGCAAAGTTATCCAACTTGTCAATCTGATGTACCTTGTTACTATAAATAAGTATTGTAAGTTTCAATTGAATATCTCAAGCAATAATTGAGATATTTGACTTTACAAAAAACTTTAACCAAAATTTCTAAGTTAAAAGGGGCATAATTCTGTCAAAATTGTAGGCAGAGTTATCCAACTTGTCAATCTGATATACCTTGTTACTATAAATAAGTATTGTAAGTTTCAATTGAATATCTCAAGCAATAATTGAGATATTTGACTTTACAAAAAACTTTAACCAAAACTTCTAAGTTAAAAAGGGGCATAATTCTGTCAATATTGTAGGCAGAGTTATCCAACTTGTCAATCTGATGTACCTTGTTACTATAAATAAGTATTGTAAGTTTCAATTGAATATCTCAAGCAATAATTGAGATATCTGACTTTACAAAAAACTTTAACCAAAATTTCTAAGTTAAAAAGGGGCATAATTCTGTCAATATTGTAGGCAGAGTTATCCAACTTGTCAATCTGATGTACCTTGCTACTATAAATAAGTATTGTAAGTTTCAATTGAATATCTCAAGTAATAATTGAGATATTTGACTTTACAAAAAACTTTAACCAACGCAGACGCCGACGCGGACGCTGACGCCGGGGCGACTACAATAGCTCTCATATTCTTCGAATAGTCGAGCTAAAAAACCTGTGTGGGTTGAGGAAACCAAAGAGGGATTTAACCTCAAATGGAATTTGAACATTAGATCTCCATATTAGGGATCCAGTGCACTCCCCTAAATCAAGCTTCTTCCAATTAAAGAGGTTGTTTGAAGAAAAGTCTCTGTGTAGAATCATCAACTTCCACAAACTAGCTGAATAGCTCCTTCATAATTGAGCCGCGCCACGACAAAACCAAAATAATGGGTTTGCGACCAGCATGGATCCAGACCAGCCTGCTCATCCACGCAGTCTGATCAGGATCCATGCTGTTTGCTTACAAACCCTATAACAAGTAGACTGCGCGGTTTTGCAGGCTGGTCTGGATCCATGCTGTTTGTTTACAAACCCTATAACAAGTAGAGAAACTGATAGCAAACAGCATGGATCCTGATCAGACTACGCGTATGTGCAGGCTGGTCTGGATCCATGCTGGTCGCAAACCCATTCTGTTGGTTTTGTCGTGACGCGGCTCATATCATGCATTCAACATCACAAACAGAATTCCAAATCACATAAGTTTCTAAATAAATTAATTACATTATGAATTACACAAAATAAATTTTGAAGCATATTTACTAACCTCTATGTTTAATGTAGAAATAATCATCACACCATTTCTTGAACCTCGGATAATAGCTTTTGTTATGTTTATCGCAGGCAGTCTTCAAGGTCTTATGGAAATGTGTAATATCCTGAAGTACAATAAAAAAAATTGACAGGTTTATTTATAGAATATATGTTAAAGTTAAGGAAAATTGATATTTTTTAAAAATAAATACCCACTTGTTTAGTTAGACAGGTTACGCTCTGAACAGACACATTATTGATTTGTATATAGATACTTCCCGAATTTTACAATATTTACCTCCCTTACTAAAAGTTACCCATTTTCAGGTTTAATATTTTATATAAGTGAAACAATACAAACAGCTAATTAAAGTGATCGATTATATTACTTATAAATCCAAAATCAAAAACGTTTTTATTAGATAACAATTGTGGGAGATTTTTATCTTAAGATACAGGGCCGGCAAAATCTAATTTTGACTTACTTGTCCGTTTTATTTCAACAATATTTTACTTATTCATATGATATTTATAAAGTAGATTTTTGAAAAAAACAAGAAAACATGTTTGTTAAACACAAATGCCCCCGGCTCCGATTCTTGTCATTAGCAATATTTCAAAAAATGTTTACCCATTCACTCAGTTATGGACAGAAACATTGCCAAAAAATTGTAAACACAAGTTATACAGCTTGACAGAGTCATGGCATTTTGTAATTGTGAAATATATAAGTTGCATAAAAAACACTTGTCCATACAGGCTGTAGGACGACCTTGGCAATACGGACAATTGATTTTGCCGCCTTTGCAGGAGTTATACTGAAAATGACCCTTAAAATGGCAGTTAGGGGAGGGAATACATCCTTCGTGAGATGCATCTTTACCACAAAATTACAGCCTATACTACATCTTACAAGACTCTATACTGGTTGTTCTTTAATCATATCATTTTAATGTTGACATTCTTAAACAATGGTAAATACCATATTCCATTTAAGCAAGTCCATTTATATACATACATATACAGAATATAAATGTATTTTAGTTTGATTCAATAGGAAGCTTAAAGCATTTAGACACACTCTCAAATCAATTTCTGTAACCAAACATTACTATTGCTCTTGGCGGGGCTTTAACCAACGCAGCCAGCTGTCCTTAGATTGTCAGTATGACATGTCAACCACTCAGCCATGCCACCAGTATGTCCATTAATCAAAATTATATAACATTTAATTACCTCTTCATCAAGAAAGTATGGTGTAAGATCAGTGCCACCACCAAACCACCAGTGTTTCATTCCAGTTTCATCTGTTACTTCAAAATAACGGTAGTTGAAATGTATGGTTGGAACATTTGGATTTTTCTGGAATTGACAAATACAATCCTGCTTTATTACAAAATATGAAAATTTACCTGTACTTTTACTTCTTGCACACTCATGTCTCTCATAATACATAGAAATATCAATTTTGTTGCAATAAAATCCAAATTTCTGTTATTTTTGTTTGTTATTTTCTCCCTGTATGTTAAAGAAATGTGATTATATTTGTCCAATGATTGGATATAAAAAGATATATAAAGCATTACTGTATATATGACATAACACATCATCATTGGATTATACAAAGATTGCTGTCAGCATTAACCTGTTTTTCAGTGACAATTACCAGTACTAATTGATGCATGCAATAACGGAAACAAATATTTGCTGCCTCAAAAATCTAAATTTGTATTGCTTTAGGCTGGTGCTAGTCTGAAATTTGCACTTTTGAATTTTGTTTTAAAGGCGCTCCACTGAGGTCAAAAAGCCTAAAAACATAAAAATTGAAATTCTTACATAGATCAAGTTAAAGGACTTAAAATGTAAAACTCTGCAAAGAATGATAAAGAAATATGAATTATCCATCTTCATGTATACTCTTTGCAAAGGCTTATTCTTTATTTTTTATAACTACATTTGTAACCAGAAATTACTAACTTCTCCCTAAGTGACCACCAACTCACCCCACATGACTTATAAATCAGCAGTGAGAGAAAATGATCATTGGACTACAAATGTCAGTATCTGAGACAGACTATCATGGAGAAATTTCATGTCACCCCATGGATCAAACCAGCGACCCTGGATTACAAATCCAATACCCTCTCTATTGAGTAAAGCCAGCAGAGCAGGCAATATTGTTCACTTACAGGATGTATAACAGAGCTCACTCCAGTAGCAAAGAATGGCAGAGTCTTTCCTTCTAGACTTTTCCCTCTGAAATATAAAATTCATATCATTTAAAGTAAATAAAAACAAGACTATTAATTAAGCGTTTTCATTGTTTTGAAGTGCATATAAAGTTTTATTAACAAAATTTATTACCAGTAAAAATTATGTTGTTTTGATAATTTTATGGTTGATTCTACAAAGATGTAACTGTTGAACGTAGAATATCTATGCTATTTTACATAAATGCAAAATGAACTGACCTTGACTTCATTTGTTGTACAGCCGCTGGAGGAAGGTTGCCCATGACAACAGAAATGTTCACCCCTGCCTTCTCAAACACTTCACCATCCTGCATCACACAGGTGATACCTCCACCTCCCTGTAATGAAAGGTCAAAGTTCAAGGTCAACTGAACTTTTCTAACACCTAATGGCTTGCCTATGCAATTACTGAACAGCCAGGCCAGTCAGCAAATTTGTACAGTTTCACCATACTCTTAACATTCAACTGCTGGATAGTAGTACTTTGTTTTCTCAACAAAAGACAGTTCAAAGGTAAAATTAGGACAAGCCCAATACACAACACCAACTGGTAATAGATTATAAATAGAAAAGTGAGTACTTTAAGTTAATACAGAATTTAATTTGGTTTGATGGTGTAGGAGGCTATAAACGTGAATCTGTTCCTAGAATGAACAAGTACTACACAATGAGTATACAGATTCTTGCTGAAGGAAACAACAGCTTTCCCATAATGAACCAATGTGGCCAGAATAAATGCTTAGACCACTAGTCCATTATGTTAACCACTCAGCCATGCTACCACAAGCAGGGCTTTTTTACCTTCTTTAGCAGGGGCTGTCATAGGGCTGCTTCCGGATAGAAAAATTCTTTAAAATCATGCAGTTTTTCTCAAAAATTGAATTTACATCCAGTTTTTCATTCCCCTTTTGTAATTATATACCGTGTAATTTTACCCCAAAATTAAGGGCAGGGCTGTTTCCCCAACCTGTAAAAAAAGGCTTGACATGAGTACTCTTGCCGTTTGTAAGTATATATACTGAACAAAAAATTTAGCTTTGCTTATACTGATAGTTGTGCAATGGACTCAAAAATAGAACTTCTGCAAAAGGGAGATAACTTAAGTTCTTGACAAATGAAAACAAAAATGGTTCTGTAAAATAATGTATTGCTGACACATGCTGACACATGCTGATAAACAAAACAGAATTATACACTTTGCTTTTTTAATAAATAAAACTGGAAATATTGTATCAAAATTTAACTACCTCTTTTCTTTGCCATTTATCAACTATGAATTTTTTACCACCCTCCTCAGCTTCTAGGGCTTTGCAAAATTCTGCCTGCAAAACAAAAATACATGCACCATGACAAAAATCTTCCCTGAGTTACTAAAAATGTGATATCCTTGAAGCTGTACAAGTCTTTAAGAGCCATTGAGGTATACTGATAAGACAGGACTGGAAACTTTTATCAAGATTTTTTTGTACCATTTGATGTAGGTCTGAACTAATAACTTGTGTGCAAAATTTCAGATCATTTGCTCTCTCTTTTTACTCCAGAAAAGTCAATTTCAGTGTGCAAAATGACACAAAAATGAAGTGTATAAACACTTTTAACACAAATGGTCTTCTTAATCCAATCAATTCTGATAAATTTCTTTTTTATCTGTTGCATATTTTTTCCATTTTAAGTGCTCTATTATGCTTTTAAATTTAATGTTTTAAGCATTTGAATTTCAGTTTAGACATTTAGATCACAGTTTAGGCATTGTCAAATCCTTTAAATATCTAGGTGTACATCTATTCAAAACGGACAATGGAATAGAAAGCAGGAACGTATAGCACAACATGCGTCTTTCGCTCTTCATAATTTATTTATTATCTTTAATCAAGTAGATTTACCCGTTTCACAGCAAATAAAATTGTTTGATTCTCTCGTATCATCAACTTTAAATTACGCGGCATAGGTATGGGGATCACACATCGCACCCACTGTCGAAGTTATTCATTGTAAATTTTGTAGAAAAATTTTAGGAACTAAATTATCCACAAACCGAAAGCGTTATATGGCGAACTTGGTCGAACACCTATGTATAGTCAACGGAAAATAATTATGATTAAATATTGGATTAAGTTATTATCGTTCAAGAAAGTACTATCCTTTTTAAAACATATTCTATGTTAAGAATTGATGCTGACAATGGACAATCTTATAATGGTAAAAATTGGGCTTACACTATTAAACAAATATTAGATGAATCTGGATTAATATTTGTATGGGAAAACCAATATAGCATACAGGTAGATTTTAAAACAATTAAATTCAGAATTCTTAGTTTGTATTACGAACAATGGTATACCTTGATAAATAATTCACCTCGTCTTGATACATACAGTTTATTTAAACATACTTTTGATTTAGAAATTTACTTAAGTGTAATTAAAGAACCAAAGTATAGAATAGCCTTATCTAGATTTAGAACATCGTCACACAATTTAGCTATAGAATATGGAAGATATCGTAATATTCCAAGAAATGAACGTTTTTGTGAAAATTGTCAATTTAATCAAATAGAGAATGAATATCATTTTTTAATTATTTGCCCGAAGTTCTCTGATTTGAGAAAAAAGTATCTTAAACGGTATTACTACACATGGACGACTAAGCAAAAGTTGATCAATTTAATGTCTGAATCATCGTTAACTGTAATTAATGGTTTAAGCAAATTTATATATCATGCTAACACTTTAAGAAATTAATCCTATCAATTGTGATCTGTATTTTATTCATATGATTGTAAGGCTCTTCTGAAAAAATCCATGTACTTGTGTTGTCTGTGTTTATATATTTTGTACTTGCTATAAACATGTATTTGTTTAATGCAATAAAATTTTGAAGTTGAAGTATCATTAAGCACAATATTCTCAACAGTATTCTAAACCATTCATCCATCTTTACATCCAAGTTACATCTTTTAGGATATTTCAAGTTTAACAAGTACTCATTTTAAGTAACAAATTCTAAAACTCATTTTAAGTAACAAAGTTTAAGAGCTACCATGAACCATCTTGGTCTTTTTTTCCCCCTTTTACAGTCACTACTAGCAAATGGAGGCATTCCTAATGGCAAAAGGTATAATTGTTTTCCCAAATGAGAAGCATAAAATTCTGAATAATCAGTCTGCGTTAATATTGTAGTAAATTTTCTTTGCAAAAACATTTTTATTTAAAAAATTCTTTTACAAGACATGAATAAAAAGACTATCAATGGGAACTATTGATTGATTCATTATATGTTCAGGTTTTTACATCAGTCACTTTAAAATTTCAAATTGGAAATGCATTTTTCTAGACTATCAATGGGAACTATTGATCTAGTCAATATGTGACCAGTGTTTTACATCAGTAACTTTAAAATTTCCAAATCGGAAATGCATTTTTCTCTAATTTGGGCAGTGTTGGCGTTATTAAAATGTTGAAACAAACTGTTTGCCTTTACTTTCAAATAACATAAATCTGTACATAAAAAAACAACAACATTTTTATATTATATTAATTCAACTTGTTTAAAATGACAACAATACAAAATATGAATATTCAAATTTAATATCCTGAGTCATTTATAGAACTTTTTCAACTACAGGTCATTTGATGTTAAAATTCTTTTTAACTATTTACTTTTATAAGTAGCATTAAACACAAACTCAAATCAGACCAGGAATAAATATCTAACAATAGTATAAAACTAGTGCACTTAAATTTCTAAAATCTGACAGGGGCTAATGACATTAAAACTATTGACAATAAAACAATTAAAAACTACATGGGAGATGGAAACCAAATGTGTCAGCTTCATAAAATAAAGTCATTACTAACTTACTAACTAATCTTAGTAATGTGAACTGGAAGTTTAAAGAGTAATAAACAATTTTACCTGAATGTCCATTATCATTATTTCCATTTTAATTCTCATGGTGTCAGAGTGCTGAAAATAAACAGAGTAACATTTAACTCTCCAAACACAAGAGCAACAATGAAAATTAACTCCCCTTATATGTCTATATTACAGTTCAGATAACATGGAACAGGCAGAATCCTCCGAGTATCAGAGAATTACAAAACGCAAGAATCTGAGTGGATAATAAATTTCATGGACTTTAAACAGTGACTCAGTGGAGGTTATGTGTGAAAATTTAGCCTTTTATACTCCATGACTCTCTGAGTAACCTATCCCCCAAGGATTTTGCACATTCCTCCTCATCAGTACAGTATTACTTCCACTCTTAAATATTGAAACTTAAACAAGAACCGGTTGATGCTCCCCGAGAAGGTTTTTGACATAGGAAAGTATAAAAAAATGAACAAAGGGCAAAAACTCCAAAATTAGACAAGGCAGAGTTATGGTTTGCTTTTGCACTGCACTTCTATTCAATGAGATCTATCTATCTATAAAGTTTCATGTTGATATCTCTTATAGTTTCAGAGTTATGTCCAAGGTAAAATTCAAAGTGTAAAAATGAACAAAAGGCAATAACTCCAAAACTAGACCAGGCTTTGTTTAGGTTCTTAAGCATTGCAGTTCTATTCAATGAGATCTATCTACCTACAAAGTTTCATGTTGATATCTCTAATAGTTTTAGAATTATGTCCGGACAAAAGTCAAAAAGTAAAAATAAACAAAAGGGTATAACTTCAAAATAAGGCAAGGCAGAGTTATGATTCTTTGGCACTGCACTTCTACCCAATGAGACCTATCTACCTATAAAGTAACATGTTGATATCTCTTATAATTTTAGAGATATGTCCCTGACAAAGTTTAGTGTCAAAATGAACAAAGGGCAATAACTCCAAAATTAGGTAAGACAGAGTTACAGTTCTTGTGCACTGCAAACCTACTCAATGAGATCTATCTATCTGCAAAGTTTAATGTTGATACCTCTTATAGTTTTAGAGTTCAGGGTTGTCATTAACATTTTTTGCAGAAGGTTTGTTTTGAACTTGAGGCGGTCATTTCTGTCTTTATCATGCATAACAAAGAGTGTTTTCTTAATTTTGAGGCGGCCCACAATGCATTTGAGACAGGCATTTTGGCCTCCTGCCGCCTCTTAATGACAACCCTGAGAGTTATGTCCCGCACAAAGTTTAAAAAGTACAAATAAACAAAGGGCAATAATTCAAGTATTAGACAAGGCAGAGTTACGATTATTTTGCACTGCACACCTACTCAATGAGATCTTATCTACCTACAAAGTTTCATGTTGATACCTCTTATAGTTTTAGAGTTATGTCCTGGACAAAGTTCAAAATGTAAAAATAAACAAAGGGCAATAATTCAAAATTTAGGCAAGGAAGAGTTACGGTTCTTGTGCACTGCAATCCTACTCAATGAGATCTATCTACCTACAAAGTTTCATGTTGATACCTCTTATAGTTTTAGAGTTATGTCCCGGACAAAGTTCAAAGTGCCAACATTTTGGGTTTATGTGCTTTTTCTTTGATCTTTATGTGGCACTTTTCCCCATAAACCAGTAAAAATTACCACATAATCCGGTCGGTGCATGGGATTTCTTCCTTTCTTTAACTAAAATTATGGAAGGAATGAAGCTCATAGACCATTGGATGTTCACCTGGACGGACGGACAGACAAGGCGGCGACTATATGCTCCCCGAAATTTTTTCGGGGAACGTAAAAAAGTTTGGTAGATGTATAGTTTTTAGTTTTAAGTGTCGCAGTTTCTGTAAACTTAACATAAAATAAAATATAGATGGGATCATTGGTGGAACAGGCATTGGCAATTATCAAATGAATTATCTATCAATCAGATTTTGGGCTATTGAAAGCTTGATGTATGAAATGTATGAAAATAATTTTTTTTTTTTAAGTTGCACATCTTCAATTCTCTTAAAGAAATAAGACCACCTTGACTTTGTATGAACCCTAAGCCCTAAAATATTAATGTAAATAATGTTACAAAACAGGTTTTACATATGTATTATATTAGAGGATTATCCTATCATGAGCTACCAGAGGTGACAGCATGCTTTACTTATCAAATGACTGGACGGTAAAGATAGAAAAAACTAAGAAGAAAAAGACATTTATATCATGCTTTATCAATAAAAAACAACAAAAACTCAATAGCAAACATTCATATACAATAGTTCAAAAAGTATACAAGTTTTAAAACATATTTACAAGGTTATGAACTTTTTTAAGGTATGTCTTCTGTGCATCGGGATTATCTATCAACGAATAATCTATATACACATATTTTTTTTATTAAAGATAATTCTAGTTAAAAGAGGGATAATTTTTGAAAATTAAGCGCTAGACATACAGTTGAGATCAAACTTAAGTCATACATGCCATAAATTTTAGACTCATTTCCGGGACACTTTTCATTTGGAGGTGGGGCATTGAGCAGCAAACGTATTTTTTTTTAAATTTACATGGTGGCATACAACCTACCGGTATCTTACGGGTATAATTAATGACACCGTATTAAACAAAGGACAGAATGTCAATAATTTATATTAACAGTTTTTCTATCTTTTTTAAGTATTTAGGCATCGATTCGTTAATTCAATCAGTCACAGAATAGAATAAAGCTATGTTAAGTAATGACAATTAGCCATGTCGTTTACCTGAAACATTCCCTGAATCTTGTAGATTGCATCACCTCATATTTAGCGGTAATTTTCACGGTGTTGGACCACTAATAACTGCCTCCAGGCAGATTAAATTTATACTGGCCAGTTGTTAATTACAGTGTATGACACCTTGCTCAGGAAGCCACAAGGGGTAAACAGTTAATCTTTTAATTGATCAAAATTATTGCCGATAATTGCTTGTTGGAAATACCAATCAAAGGATTAGTGTCACCATTGCAATGCTGTTAGGGGATAATCGTTTGTTATTAGCATTCTAGACTTGTTTATAAAAACTTGACAATAAAATTATATAAAAATGTAAAATTTCTTGCTTCAAAGTGGATTATTTCAGATTTTTTTTTTACCCGGACATAAATCATCTCCGGGACACCTCCGGGACAGACACCTTATTTCCGGGACTATCTCGGACATCCGGGACGTTATGGCATGTATGCTTAAGTTTCCACCCTTGTGCACATGGTGTGCACTTGACACAAACTAGAAGTGCACACTATGTGCACTTCTAGTGCACTAGACCAAGTGACCAGACAGGATGTCACTTTACTAGTTTAATGGATCATTGCATAGCAATTGACCTTGTAACAAATGACAATAAGGAACGATAAGGCGCATATATTTAAAGTTTGAAGTAAATTCCGAGAGAAACAATGAAGACAAAGATCTAAATAAAAATGTTTTACTGCTTAAAACCTGTACTTAAAATCTGCTCAGGCCCTTGGGTGAAACTTTTCATATACAATGTACAGTCAAGCAAAAACTAGTAAGAAAACTTATGTACCTTTTGCATCTCTTTCGGGTCTGTGACAGGCTCTGCCATCCAGCCATGTGTACCCATCAAGGTTGCTGCAAGCAATTTATTCTTCCTATAGTGAGTTGCTATAATACCAACAGTGGACAATCCTGCTGCAGTTAACATCACTCTATAATTATGACAAATCAAATAGTACTAATAGATAATTTTTGCTGTTACAGCTGAAGTTAGTTAATTCTGTCATGCAAATGAAGCACTTTGATTCCAAAATTGAAGTTTATGTCTTTTGGAATCCTTAAAAGATATAGCATTATGATAAGTGAATTTTAACAAATGTATATGTATGTTTTACTTTATGAATTTTGAATTTAAATACATGTGTATATAAACTTAGACTTATCACTGGCTGAAAAATAATTTTTCATTTAATTTAAATCAACATATAATCTATTTACCCCCATCTTGACTTGTTATTCCTTGCCTGAAATGTGGCTAATGTTGACAAATTTCTGAAAGTTTTTATGCTGCAACTGCATTTTCTGATGTGTGACATGGCAACTTTGAATCAACTTACAACTCAAAAATATGATTTGATTAATCTAAATTAAGACTAAATAACGTCCATATGGTCCGTCAAAGTTTCTCAGTAGACTGGTATGTGTACACTGTCACGTTTATTAAACGGTGTAAAGGTTAAAATACGGAACGCTCGTTATACTGGTTTTGCCATTTAACCCCAATATATTTATTGGTCTTATAAATTTTCACGTTGATGACATGCTAAGGTATCAGTTTCATTTGACAAAGCAAAAAAATGTCCAATGATGGTCAAATTTTCAGATAGAGAATTTTCCGCAATTAGCCGATACTATGAAAGAAATGCGTTTTTCCCTTTAAACAATTCGAATAACGGGCGCAGACATATTGGTTGCGATCAATATTTCGGTTTACGAATTGAAATTATACGAAATGGGAAATATTTTATAACGCTACCATTTTATAAATAATGTCATGAACTTAAAATATTTGTGTCAGTTTTAATACTTGTTTAGATAACATTTTTTTCTATGAAGTATCAATACCCATCTTTATATTTCAGATACTTAAATTAACATTTTCGTCTAATTATTACAATTTATTTATATTTTTGTTGCAGCCGTGCTCAGAATCCGGGATATATCCGGGCATCCTTCAAAACCTGGAAGTATTTTTGACATTTGTGCACAGAAAGCTGTGTTATGATGCATTTCATGTGGATTTCATTTTCATTTATGCGATGTTATTCTAGGTAGTCTAAGGTCATGTCTGGGAAAATGAAAAAGATCCGTGGCATGTTAGATGGACTTCGCCAGTCAGTCGGCAGCTCTTCTCCAAAATCTGAGGCCGAAATCGAAGAAACACTGCGGTCGGAAGATCTCCAAGTGTGCAAGGTCAGATTTCCCATTTGGCTCTAGATGGAAAATAAAAAGAATTAGTTATTGAACAAAATAAGGTTTTGGAAGTCAAGAAAATTAATTTTAAATTTCTTTAATTTTGTCACATAATAGAAATCTAATTTTATTTTTGACACTTTTTGTTTTGATATCCAATCATCAGATTAATAATTTTTCAATTTTATAATTTCTATTGTATAATGACATGTTAACTATGCAGTAACCTGCATTAGCTGACACACTTTGTGACACAAAGATCCTTATTTATATACCATTTATTAAATTTATCACCATATTTTGAGCATTTTGACATAGATTGATAGAAAGGGGTGTTATTATTTATAATTTTATCACTTGGATATTTTGAGAAATTGTCTTTGAAATTTCTTAATTTTCAGAGAGATTGAAATAGTATGTTTAGTAATATGAATTTAGGTGAAGCCTATGAACAGGGAAACTTTTTTTTATATAGTTTATTTTTCCGTTTTAAAGGTGTCATCGCAGATTATTTATGTTATTAATCCGAAAAGTTGCGATTGTTCAGTTGCGATTGTTCGTTATCGGAATACCCCTCCTATTATCATTCACAGGCAGTCGTTGCGTGGCTTGGATACTATACATGTACATGACCACGCCGACTTATTTTGATAAATAAAAAATATTTTTTCATTCCTAAAATATTTTTTCACTCAAAATGTTATTAAAATATCTTATTTTCAATAAATCAACAAAGGAATGTTGTTTCTAAAAATTTCATCCATATATATACTATAAATATATTAAAGGTAGAAAGGTTCACCAGCGGAACTACCACCAGGCCGTATGTTACCTCCTAGATCTTTGTTAGTTGTACATGTAGACCAATTTTCATTAAATAAAGTGCACTTTTTGTCTAGGTCGGTTGACCTTGCAGAAAGTAGACGATTTTGAACATAAATTGATTTTTTTCTTAATAACAAACTAATGTCAGTGCATGCAAACAGTTGAAACAGAAAAGGCAGCTATAATACTATCGCTTACCGTAGTTATTTGCACTAACTTTTTAAATTTCCCAACATTGTTCATCACTAGATTGTACATCACTACACAAATCCTGATCCGGATATTCAAAGTACGCATGCTCGGTTCACGCTGGTATCCAGCTTCGCTCAATCTTTACTATGCCGCGTATGCGAAAAGGGGTACGCCTCAGGTATATCCGGGTCAGCATTTGTATACATGTAATGTCAGGAAATTTAAAAAGTTAGTGCAAATAATTACTGAAAGTGCCTACCTACAGACCTTTTAGATTAAATTTGGACCGGTAAGCGATAGTATTATAGCCCCACTGGTGAATCTTCACTAATGTGGGGCAAGTCATTATGGGGTAAATGATTATCATTTCAGCTTTTGTCAACAGATTGTGTCTTTCAAAATAGGAAAATTTAGTGTAGCAACATTTGAAAATTGCTGAAATTTTCAATGATTTTGTTTACAATTATTTTCTAAAAAGTCTGTAAATTGGCATGTTATCAAGGCTTACTGATCAATGTAGCCAAATTTAAGCAAGAGCACTATGTTATGCAATGATTGGCAAACCATTGAGATAATGTGGCACTGATTTGTAGGACTGGTGGTACCTCATCTTTACATCAAATATTTAAGTAAAATGGCTTGGAGCACATCTGGTTAAGCAGACCTTAAATGATAAACAGTATTTATTAACATATTTGCCTCAAAACTACAACAGAAACACAGACTCGCACATAGTAACAGAAATGCATGCACTTTGATATATATCAGCGTTTGCTTTACTAGATTTTATCCATATTTTATGATTGTTGTGACTTTCCAAGATAATCATATAGTCAGGGTTGTCATTAACATTTTTTGCAGAAGGTTTGTTTTGAACTTGAGGCGGTCATTTCTGTCTTTATCATGCAAAACAAAGAGTGTTTTCTTAATTTTGAGGCGGCCCATATTGCATTTGAGACAGGCATTTTGGCCTCCTGCCGCCTCTTAATGACAACCCTGTATAGTTGAAAGTTTTGATGTTTTTTTGTCATTTGCACAAATCTGTATTTTGCAAAGAAAATTATGACTCTAAAACTCTAGCAGCCCTTATATTTTACCAGTGATTCAGATTGGACACATGTATGTTACTTTGGACAGACTGTCAGTAACTGTTGTGCTCTGGACATACATGTAAATTGCAATAACAATCTTCTGATAAGTTTGTTATTGTTTAAAGATTATTATACAATGATGTGTTCCATATATATAGACTGTGCATTTGAGTCTAAGGCCCTCAAAAATACAAACAGGCAGAATTTATACACCATATTTGGCCATTTGAGTGCATTCACTGAGTATAAGGGAATAAAGAACCTATGAATCTCTTGACATACATGTAATAATACTCTTTTCATATTCTTTACTGTCACACAGTTGTGACCACTGGTTTATGTTTACATTTAATAGTTAAGGCCAAAGGGAAACTGGAAACCAAACAGATATTAAAGATAATTTTGGGGTAAAACCTGCACTGTATTAATTATTTATTGAAGAGAGTATGAATCAAATGCAACTGTTAGCGATTATTAAGTTAGTGTTTTATACATACCCTTAAATATCCACTTGCTTTGTGAAATCTACTTTTATCAGCCTTTTTGTATTTCTACTTAATTTCTTGCACATTCTTTGAATCAATTTGCAAACCTGTCTGTACTAAAAAATGCCAAGTTTGTTGATCATCTTGTTTGGCCAGTAAAATGGAACACTTGAAAAAAGAATTTTCAAACTGGGGGGCAAATGTCCATCTTTATATTTTCATTGGAGGGGGGGGCAAATGTCTTATGATGCATTTTATGCTCACTTAAGAGCAAAACATATTCAAGTTGCGCTTTTGTTAACACTCACTGTCTGATGTCATGTCGGGCTTCCATCCAGCCACACTTCTTTGATCAAAATTTCTTCCTAAACCACAAGGTAAATAATATTAAAATTCTACGAAGACCTTAGTAATGTTTTAAAGTTGTTACAAAAATTATTCCATGCAGAACTCTGGTTGCCATGGAAACCAAAATTAAAATCTTTGAAAATCATCTCTCCTTTGAAGCATAAAAGGATAGATATTTCAGATATTTGACAGTAAACATGATGACATCTAATGGGCCTCTACAAAGCTTGTTCAAATAATAGCCCTGGGGATTAAAACGAGTCCCTCACTTGCAGTCGACTCGGGAGGGGGGAGTGTAATGGGTTTTCCTTGTAATACTGTCAACTGTGTATAATTCTTTGTGCATAAAGGCAAGAACTGAGATATTTAGCATGATACATTGTTTAATGGACCACACGTTTGTTCAAATTGTAGCCCCAGGGTCACTTTGGAGGGAGGGGAAGGGGTGCATAAATTTTGCTTATTTGCTTATTAATAATAAAACTTTATGGGTGGTGAGAGTTGAAAATAAAAATATGTTTTAAATGACATCTCCTCCTTAGTCACTTGATAGATTTTGATGAAGCTCTACATAAGTGATCATTCGGTGTTCCTTTATAGCTTTAAAAGTTTTGCCTTGCTGAACAAGATGGAGGCCAGATCTTTAAATAGATATAAGTTTTTAGTGACATCTCTTCAACCATGCTTCAAATTAATTAATGAACCTGTACATGAATGATATTTAGGTGAAGCATTACAAAATTTGCTATAATGGTTTCATACCCTATACAAAAATAAGGTTTAAATGACATCTCCTTTACCCCTTGGATGATTTTAATAAAACCGAAAGAGTTAGAGCTTAAATATTTGGCATGAAATATCATCTAGTCAGTGTTTGCAAGAGGTTGGAGCCTGGCATGGATGTCCTTTAAGAAATACTTAAAAGGTCTATCACCATGGGTTTACGCCCTCCTCTGAGGATACAACCAGTGATCAATTCCTGACGGACACACCTATACCCGCGGACACATGGTCAGACCCCCTAACCATCCCACCATGTGGGTGCTCTCCCTATTGAGCTAAATGGGTAGATTTCATGGTACTGTATACTCAATTTTTAATAATCCTCTGGTGTGTAAATTTAAGAGCCACCATGGCCCTCTTGTTAGACTTGGGGATTTGAGTCCTGGACTCTATGGAGGACATAGAATTTTCCTTGCTGGTAGACTGACATAAAGTTGCATGTGAGGGCAACTGTGTCCTGTAGACACATTTCTTCTTTAAGATTAGATGGTGACCTAGACTAAATGTTTTGTTGGTATAATTATATAGAATAATTAAATTCCTGAGAAATATTTTTAATCATAACAGCATTTTTCTCCATTTTAGCCAAGTTTCCTTAGAACTTTCAATAACAGAATTCTCTATTTTAGATCTACCCATGATGCATTATTTTTTCCCTGTTCAATTTGTGTTGTCTTGCATTGGTGTATTCCCAAAATAATGAGAAAGGGTTTGCTTTATTACAACAGTTCTAAGAAAACTCTTATTCTTCATAATCAAGAGTTATGGACCTTGTTTTATTATTTTCAAATCAAACTATTACTTAACCAGTTAAATTTAAGTAAATTTCTTGAAAGTGAGTGAGATTGACTTTAATAAAAAATTACCTTCATATAATCCATGTAAAGATTTGTTTTTATTAAATTATCATAAGATAGGTTAAAATTTGCATTTCAAGTGCATTATACTATTATATACTGTGTTATAAAGTTAACAAAAGTAGGTGTGGGGAATGAAGTTGAGAAACTCCAAAATTAAGGTTTTTAGGATAATCCTGTCTTTTTATTGGCTGACAGTAGATGTTAATTTTTTTACATGTAGTGTATTGCATGACCAATACAACCTCATTATACAATTTATTCAGTACAGGTTTATCTTTTCAAACTGCTTTAGATAAGTTTGTATTGTGGGCAAACCATTAAATTTTAAGCAATATCCTGTTTACTTTGGTGACTTGAAACCACATAGAAGTTCACCAGAGATAAAATATACTAATTGTGAACCCTATATGGTTTTTGCTGGTTAGTACAATTATTCTCAGGTAATTAGTACAGCAAATGATATTTATAGTATAATACAGGGTAGCATTTACATATTGTTTATTGTTACAATGTAATTTAAAAATGTGTTTTTTATGTTCTTTGGGGTATGAAATTTAAATTTTGTATATAACATAATACAGAAAATTGTTCTGAATTCAGAAATTAGAAGTTCTGTAATTCAGTGGTATTAATTCAATAGAAAACAGAAGGAGAAATTTCAGAATCCTGAAAAATGTTCGGATTACAGAAGTTTCAAGATTTTAGAAGTTCCGAAATTCGGAAGTTACACTGTATTATACTTGTATAAAGTTATTGCCCAAAATCTCATTAATATTTTAGATTTAAATTTTCTGTATCACATTATTGTGTTGCCTTGAAAAGGTGACATATAGGGGTTACTTTTGTCGGCGACGGCGTCTGTGTCAGCGTCGTTGTCGGCGTCCCCTAAAGCTTGTCCGGAGCATAACTCAGTCACTATAAGTCTGATTGACTTCAAACTTGGTATGCATGCTTCTTACAATAAGCCGAAGTGCAGCGCACAAGGACCGGTACTCTGCAGTTCTTATTTTTTGAGTTATTGCCCTTTGTTAATTTTCATACTTTAATTTTGTCCGGGCCATTTCTCTTCAACTAAAAAAGCTAAGGACCGGTACTCTGCACTTCCTAATTTTTGAGTTATTGCCCTTTGTTAATATTCATAATTTATTTTTGTCCGGGCCATTTCTCCTAATGTATAAAAGCCATGGACTTGAAACTTCATAGGATGATAGGTCTCATTAAGAAGAAGTGCAGTGCACAAGAATCGGTACTCTGCATTTCTTAATTTTTGAGTTATTGCCATTTGTTTATTTTCATACTTTAATTTTGTCCGGGCCATTTCTCCTTAAGTATAAAATCTATGGACTTGAAACTTCATAGGATGATAGATCTTATTAAGAAGAAGTGCAGTGCACAAGAATCGGTACTCTGCATTTCTTAATTTTTGAGTTATTGCCCTTTGTTTATTTTCATACTTAATTTTCGTCCAGGCCATTTCTCCGAAAGTATAAAAGTCTTCATAGGATGATAGATCTGATTAAGAAAAAGTGCAGTGCATAAGAACTGATACTCTGCTTTTCTTATTTTTTGAGTAATTGCCCTTGTTGATTTTCTAACTTTATTTTTGTCCTGGTCATTTCTCCTCAAGTATGAAAGCTATGGACTTGAAACATCATAGAATGATAGATCTTATTGATAAGAAGTGCAGTGCACAGAAACTGCTGCTCTGCACTTATTATTTTTTTAGTTATTACCCTTTGTTATTTTTCCTATTTCATGTTTGTCCTGGCCATTTCTCCTAAACTACATTGTTCACAAGGCGACACATTCGACTCGCGTAGTTCTAGTATTATATACAGTTATTGCCCAAAATATCATTAATTACCAAACCAATACTGTCCTGATATTATAGGGGCTGCTGTAAGTGCTTCAGAATATTGATAATATAGACACAAGATTGGTTGCCATGGCAACCTAGAGAGAAATCATACTTCTTTTCTATTCTGATGACCATGATATTTCATTAAAGTTTTATTTCTTTTTGCAGTTTGGCAAAATGTCATATACATCTTTGTGTCAGGCTGTTGGGGCACTAGCTGTATGTTTCGCATGTAGAGTAATAGAAATTGTTAGAGTGAACTGTAAAAAAAAGTTGATTAAAAGATAATTGTTAAGAAATAGCAAAATGATATTTAGCTTGAGTTAGTCGGGTTAGCATACGACTGTGATAAAAGTGGCACATATTGATAAATAAAACATAATTATATATTTTCAACAACAAAAATCCATTGAAAAGAAAATATTTGTATGTATGCTTTAAATCTTTGAAATTTATAGTCTGTATTATCAAACAAACATAAAGAAATGATAAATTGTATTTTCAACAAAACAAAGAAAGATACACAAGCATGAACTGAATAATTGGATAACTGTAAATTGTTGTAAAGCATAGTTGTTTCTTAATTAATATTCTGGGAATTTTATAACCAGGGGCCAATATAAGCCCTCATTTTCAATCCAACATGGCCTCTTATCTCCCTTAAGAAGCTAAAGTCAAAAGAAATTATCCCCCTCCCCCCACCCCCTAAAAAATGAATAAATGAATGAAATAAAACTCATCCAACTTAAAGCAATAATCAGTTAAAATTCAACTATTTGATATTTTCTTGCGTGTGATTAAAAATCATAAATTAGGTAGTTTTTCATTTAATAATCATTTTAAAAATTCAAATTTTCCAAAATGCCCCACAATGTTTAACAGTTTAAGCCAGTTTTTTTCCCCAAAAAATAGCTGAAAAGATTATTGTAGCAGGGAGTATGGCCATATAGATATGTTTATATTTACAAAGTCTTGTAGTTGAATCATCTTAATTGATTTTTCATTGTTTTGTATAATATTCCATTATTTTGTATATTGTAGACTGTGCGACATGGATTCCCCTACCAGCCAACATCACTGGCATTTGATAATGTACAGAAAATCTTGGCAATTGGAACCAAATCAGGATCACTCCGAATGTATCCTTTTGAATAGAAAAAAAAAGATGTCAGAAAGTAAAAAGTTTCCTTTTGTGAAAAAAAGGTTTACATAGTATACTTTCCTGATTTTGTTATGATTGGCCCTGTTACAAAGAAGGATGGACATGTCAACCTGATGGTTGGGCCATCAATAGGCCAGTTTCTGACAGATTGCAGATTTTGCGGATGGGAAGGTGGAGTTAATTAGTGGCCATTATTATATTAAAGAGGGGTATAATTGTTTGACAAACATCTCTTGTTTTTCCATGGTTTTCAAATTGTGATGACTGTGAGTATGAGATCATTGTTACAGCTATATATGTATTTTTTCCAATATAGCCATGTTATGTAGATTTAGGCAATATTTATTTTTATATTGGAACTCCATTCTCCATAATGAGTTGCCTGTGCTGTTTTCCCTTTTGTCTATTGGAACTTATTCAGTGATTAAAATTTTTGTCTAATTCTAAAGCCAAATATCTGCATCTTCCCAATTGACAAAAAAGTTCAAAATTCCCAATAAAACCTTGAAATGTCCCCAATATTGTTATTATTTTCCAAACCAAACCACTGCTTACATATCTGTACTGAGAAGGCTTTTTTAACTTGCATACTTTCGTTCACAGCCATGTGTGATTTATACGTTCCAAACTTTTGAGAGTGAGTATTCATGTTAAATTTTGCTGCTTAAGACTTTTATATACTACTACCAGATTTCAAATGACGAAGAAAAACATATAGTTTCTGGATTTAAATACCTATACTGAAGATTTCTGAGATCAGTTTATAGCTATATTTCACCCTTAAGATAACAATTGTTCTTTGAGATCAGTTAGCTATATTTCACCCTTAAGATAACAATTGTTCTTTGAGATCAGTTAGCTATATTTCACCCTTAAGATAACAATTGTTCTTTGAGGGTTATTTTTTGTCAAAACAAAATCTCCATTATTTATCCTTAGTATCTGGATGTCATGCAAAGAGCTTTAGATCAGTGTAAGGAGATAAATAGCATTGTGTAAATTGTCTTGTTAGTTAGAATAAGATTAATTGCTATGTTTACTCTCAGATTGCTGTTTGCAAGTCATGACTCTATCCCCAGTTTATAACTTGGCTTGAATGGCTTTTAGCATATAATTGATAACCTTAATTATACAAATTACTGTTCTCAAATGGAAACATGGCTAAGTCAGTGTACATGAAGCAGAGCGAAGGTTAAACTAAATTAGGACAGGCATCATATGTTATTGCAGCCACACATTAACCCTAACCCCACTGAATAATGTTGTAATCCTTCAGTTTTGACAAAACCACAATTTTTAGGAAAAAATTTAAACTTATAATGTACAGACTGAATAGCGAACATTGCAGACCATGATCAGATGGCATCCTGCCTGATCATGGTCTCACCGTCTGCACTGCAGGTTGCATGGGTAGAATCAGTTGCCAACAGGCAGACTCAGGGTTAAGCTTAAATATGTTTTTTTGAAGTTGACCTTATCTAAGAAAACACATTCAAGATAAGTATCAAAAACATAGTATAATTTAATGATAATGATTTAACCTTTAACTTGTAATGGACTTGTTCAGCATCGGTTTTTAGCATCAGGGATATCAAGATAAAGATTTGGGGCATACTGATGATACATGACCAAGAGGTTAAGGTCGCTGACTTATGGTGAACAAATCGCTGATATATGCCCAAAATATATTTAAAATAAGCGTTAGGACTAAACAAATAAGCTAAAGTCTTAATGGTAAAAAAAGTATTCCTTCTGTTCATTAAAAAAAAGATAATGTCAGATTTCTCACATGAACTTTCACACATTATCATGTGACAGACTTTAAACTCATTAATCTTGTTCTTTTACACAATGATTAAATTCTGTCAGAAAGTGAGAACTGAACTGAACGCTGGAATTGACGTCAGAAAATAATATTTCTTGTTAAGTCATAAGATTATGAGGAAAAAAATTTCTATCGGATTTTAAAAAAAATGTCGAATGTAGTAGGTTACCTATTTTGGTAAGCAAAAAAATCTCCCAAGTATTAGAGGCAACAAGACCAGCTATGGTGTGGAACAAAATGACAGGGTTGGCGAAATCCAGTTTGGACTTTCTTGTCTGTTTTATCTGAAACATTTCCATACTTGTAAAGTAAATTCAGAAAAAATTTCACTTGAACAGACTATGGGCAAGACAGACAATTTCTTTTGTCACCCCTGACAGAACGGCATGATATCTATGATTTAGGCAACAGGTTCTCCCATGAATTAAGTTAAAAGTATCTCGTAATGGTTGGGACAAATTTTGTAGGACCTCTTATGGACAGGATCCTCTCTTTGTAAAGCAATAAATTCTTTATTATTAACAGTGCAAAACTGCTTTTATTTGCAGTAATCACAGACAAAGTGTCCTGTCCTGGTCATGTCCAAATACATCTTTTTTTTTTCTCGATGAATGGCTTTGCAGACAAGTTTCATCTCCCCTTGTGGCTGATGGGTTGCCTTAAATCATTGAGGCAAAGGAATGGCAGCCAATGATTATCCCTGCCTGGTTGTAAGAGGTGACTTGATGGGTTAGCTTGCCTTCAGCAGATGAGGTGGTTTAAGTTGTTAAAAAATAAACAATTTGAATGTTTATATTTTGTTGGAAATAACATATGATGGTCTGGAGTAACTTATATAGATAGGTCATGCTTAAACAAATGAGAAGCTAGTCTGTTTCTGAACCAGGGGTTCAAGAATGATTTGGTACCATGGATAAGAGAAGTGAATACAGCAAATGTTAGCAGATTTAAGTATTTGGTAAAAAAAATATATAGGTTTGCAGAATCAATACATGTAAACAAAGATTCAGGAAATTAAAATAAATGTCTGACAAAGGATAAGAATATTTGAAAATATCCAGGCATTTCTTGCAAAATTACATTTTTGCCCTCGTTATTTTCAATATTACATGAAAGGGAGCAAAAAATGGGGAAAACCAATGTCATTAGAGCCAAGTTACTAGAAGTCCCCCTGTACAGAGTAACAATGCTGGGAGATCAATCTTACTCTACTTTGATTATTACTTGGCCAAAATCAATAATGGCGTTTCTATCCATTGAACATAGCATTGGGCAACCTGGAGATAACATGTATTGGAATTCACAGGGATTCGACTCCTGCAAAAGATTGATAGAGAAATTTTCTGAAGAAAAAAAAAAGAATTACGATAACTGCTTTTATTTCCTATTTTTTTCTCTTTTAAATGTCATTGTTCTTTTATTAAATGTCACATACATGTAGTGTATTAGAGTTTCTTGTGAGAGTTTTTTTAAGGAGAAGGAAACATTTAGTAGATTTTTTTCTTCAGTCTTAATTTTGCTTGTTTTATTTTGAATTTTGATTATTGAAACTAAGAAGCTATTATGGCTGAATTGTCCATACTACCAGTTTAAAGTCATATAAGCCTTGGCACGCTTGGCTGATTGAGTTTATTATATTGATATTGAAATCCCATTTACATGTTATCACCTTAAATTTAATAAGAATTAATCAGTTACTGCACTAAGGTGATGATTTAAGCATTTGATATTGCAGTAATATGACCACTTAGTTAGCTTATCCTAGGGTCGCTGGTTTGATCCTTGGACAAGACGCAATTTCTCCAAGATAAATTTGATCTCGAACTCTGACTGGCCCTAATGATGATCATTGGTTTCTCACTGCTAATTCAGAAATAATTGAGGATTAGTATAATTCACTTGGCGAGAAATTAGTAATTTCTGGATTTTATGTATCCAGTTTAACCCATTACGCGATATACACGCCTTTTAACGCCTTTTTCACCCCCCCCCCTTTTTGTTGTCTCAAAATGGTGAAAAAAATGCCTTATTTAGGCCCCCAACACTTGTTTTTGTTTGAGAAATGTTGTTTAAAAAAGTGACCACTTTTTTGGCGCGGCCCCCCAACTAAAAGATACATCAGGGGGTTGCCAGAACGGGGATGTGCCCCGCTAAGAAAATTTTGGACTTGTGAGAGGCTTAAAATGACCCCAGATCGATCATTAAGGTAACATGTAACCAACGCTGAAAAGCATTTGACTCTATCTCAATCCATTGAGAAGTTGCAGCACTTTAAAATTAATTTTGATGGAAAAAATCAACGCAAAATAGTGATTTTTGGCAATTTTGAGATGTCCCCTCGTTGCCATGGTAACAGGAAATTTAAGTCTGAGTATTTTGTTGCAAAGGCAATGGTCCAGTCAACACTTGTGCCAAGTTTGATTAGTATTGAAGCAGTTTTTATAGTTTTATAGCAATTTGAACGTGTAACAGGAAACTTTTCAATGAAAACAGCCATTTTTCACAAAATGCTTATGAAGTAATGGGTTAAGGTGGACTGACTGCCAAAATAGAACAAAAAATGGGTGTGAAAAAAACCCAAACATACACACTGAAGTCCCATTAAAAAATATATAATTATATATGATACTGAAATCCTATTAAAAGTATCATTGTATTGTTGAAAAAAAATCAAAGCAGTTCAAATCCATTAAACAGTTCTAGAGTGAAATTTAATCAATTCTGGTAACAAGAATTTTGATTGTTGAACTCTTTCCTTGTGTGTATTTCATATTTGTACAGTTGAAGACTAAATTTGTATGCATAAATTTTATGTATTTAAAACTTTATTTACATAAAAAAGAAGCTATAATCATGGGAAGAAGTTTATTAGAAGAAAAATATTTGATACTTTTGTCAAATACAAAAATATGCTTATGATAAAGCAATGATTTATTAATTATTCAGTAATAACACTACATGTGATGTATTTATTTTCTATATTTATTAGGATCACATTATTCTGATCTTGTTATGAACAGGTTGCATGATAGATTCAGTTGCTGCCAACAGGCTGAAGGTTAAAGTTATTAATCTCGTTAAATTTGAAACTGCCTTTTCTTATTTTTAGGAAATTTAGCTTCCTTAAGTTGAATAGGTACTGTTGGAGAGTCTTTTCTAACCGCTAGCATTTATAAACTGTCAAAGCATATGTATAAGTAAATTATTATCCCATCTCATGTACAGTTGTACATGTATGTGTTTGATTCAATTATGTTATTGTTTATTGAAGACAGTGTGAATATAAGTTAACAAGTAGGTTATTAGTGTTAATTCTGTTTATCTCTCTCTGTTTTAATAAAATGTTTGTTTACAAAATTGACATAGAAAGTTAAATGACCTTAACAAGTGTTTCAGACTTGGCCAGCCGGGCGTTGACCTACATTGCCATCATGGAAGCGAAGTGGCGGTTCAACAAATCTTGTTTCTAATTAACGAGGTACGTATGTGCAAAATGTTTTGGATTTTGCTTTAAGAGTCCTGATTTTTACTAGTTAGGAGTTTAAATCCTAGATTCACACCTTGTGTTTTTATGCCTCAACAACTTAGCGGGGTAAGTGGGGGATGCAGAATTGCCCTTATCTGTCACACTGTCCTTCTGTCACACTGTCGTCAGTAGACTGACAAAATAGTGAAATTAGGGGGCATCTGCAGCATATGAATACATTGATTTTAATTATAGTTTTAATAAGCCACTAATATGGTTTATACTTGTATGACATGTACATCATTGTGGTTATTGATAAACTTTACTTGCTTATCAAGTAGATTTAAAATGTAAAAAAAAAATGAGGGGGATAGAAATATATACATGTATAACCACAAATAAAATATGATTTGCCTTTGGTTTTATAGTCAAGTATGTTATTGCATCACTTGAATCACATTTTTGTCTCGTGGCAAGTTACATGATTTATTTGTACTGATTTATTTATTAATTTTGCATCCTGTCACATGAGTTGTCAATTATCTCACATGTTTTAATTTGGCTAGTTAAATGATTCAATGTCATGAACATACTTTCATCATTTATAGCTTAACTATATGCCGGCATGGAGTCTGTTTGAGAACAGTGCACAACAGATTGTTTGAACAAAGACATAGTTCTTTGGCATTGTTCAAGTTAAAAACATTAGGTTTTGGTGGCTGCTTATGTACTTAAACTGTATTGTTTTATTTTACAGGGGGCACTCGTCACTTGCTGTTCAGATGATAGTCTTCATTTATGGAACTTCCGACAAAAACGACCAGAAATTGTACATTCCTTAAAATTTCAAAGAGAAAAGTAATTTTGATTTATTTGATTTAAATTTCGGAAATCTAAGAGAGCTTATTTCTTTTGTAAATAGTATTTGTGAATTGTAAGTTTTAGAAAATAGTAAATAGAAGAAAACCATTTAGCACATAAGAAAGTCATAATTCATTCTGCACCAAAGATCCATTTAGTGACTGTGACAGTTTACATAAAAAAAAAATAACATCTTCGGTATAGTACAAAGTGAAATGTGTACTGTTGAGTAATGAAATGCTTTATATATCATAAGAAATATTTTAAATAAAACAACACTTTTATGAATTGAAGTTTATGTCTGTTGTAAAAGTTTTAGAAATTATGTCTTCAAAAATGACTTTCCCCTTACCACTGCGGGTTGAGATCCCACAAGTTACTACGGATTCTGTCATGTGATAAAGTTTTCAAAAGGTTGGTGGTTTCTTCTGCCGGCTATTGCCTGAAATAACATACACTGGAGCCGCGATATAGCGCTCATGTTGGGGTCCATGATCTCAAGACAGCGTTGTAACGAGTAACTTTTTATAACGCTCATTGTGTAATTATAGCGAAAATATCGCATTACCCCACCCACCGCCGAAACATATAACGCTTGTTAGTGGAAATGATTGTTTACTTACCTTCCAATGGATATCAGTCCAAGCTTTTTTAATATATTATTATTAATTATTTTTGTAAAGCATTACTGAATATCTTTAATATAAACATGAAAATTTACGAATTAAAAATATAAAACCACGAATGTACAATTGTTTATAAATTTTCCAGTAAAACAGCGGTGTTAAACGTGTGTTATGTGTGGTCATGAAAATTGATACCTAGTGGATGGGACTAAATTAATCGTCTTTCCTGCTGTCTCTTGTGAAAAAATCAGTCATCCTCAACAACTTTTTTGCCGATAGATCGAAAGTAATTGCTTTTTAAAATTAATTGTATGCTTGGGTGATTAACTTAACTCTTCGGTGTTTGCATGTTTTAGCTAACAGTTTGATACCTGACTGATCAACAGTTCAAAATGAACAAAAGAGCGGATTAACGCTTACCTGTGTATGAATTCACACCTTCTTATCATGAGTGATGTAATTATGACTGTTTATTGCACTCGACTGACACATTGAACAAGCGTTATAGTGGATAAGGTGCGGTATTGATATACATGAAAAAAAAATTTATAATCGGCGAAAAATACGATTTTTTTGGGGGGAGCCAAGGCATATGAGCGTTCTACTGAGATTAGCGCTATACCGAAGAGCGCTATATCGCGGCTCCAGTGTATATAAATGGGTATCTGAGGTCTTCCTTTGCCGATGGTAGCTGGAAAGTCACCTTATGACCTATAATAGTGTCAATGTGACATAAAACCCAACCAAAAATTCTCTTCTTTTTTTTCTAGAATAACCCATTGTCAGCTATCATTCCAAAGTAAATGGTTATATGTTGGAACAGAACGTGGGAACGTACACATTGTTAATATAGAGTCTTTCACACTATCTGGATATGTCATCAATTGGAACAAAGCTATTGAACTGTGAGTACATAAATACATATAATTATTTCCCTTCAGTTTGAAATATTTATTGAATAATATGATTGTTTTGATGCCACCCTTAATATACGAAATGAAATTATGAAGTGTTACTTTCGTCTGTCATTTGGATGCACAAGTCCAAAAATTCAATATTAGGGTTTATTAGATCTTTTTTCCCATAATTTACCTCATCGCACACCAGTTGGACCACAAAATACGCACCAGGCAGTCTCAAAAGTCAAAGCTTGTAAAACACCAGAGTCTAGTGAACATCCATCTTTATTATAGGAAGGTAATCGGTGCCAGTCTCAGCAAAGTTTTATAAAACTTACAGTTGACCAGAAATAACGCCACATCATGTTAGCGCAGTAAGGGGGTAACTCCTATGAAATTATATCTGGAGTTACTGCACTAAGGTGACCACCAGTAGCTTTCTAGCTCGACTTTTTGCATTAACCTAACAAATTGGTATAATAGAATTGCCCTTGAATGGTTTGGATCATTCCATTTGCAATTTAAGGGGTGTCATAATTAGAATAAAAACAAATGAGCTACCAACAATATAGAGCCTGGTCGAACTGCACAGATGTTCAGGCTTGCCTAGGTCTATACTGGAGTTATTATTAGTTTAGAGGGTAGTTCTAGTAATTACCATTGTGACAGTTAAATTTGAGGTTTATGCGGTATTATGTCAATTGTCATTGGAATTGTTTAACTGAAATTGTTTTACGAAGAAGTAATTTGAAATAGTGTAGATCCTCTCTCTTATAAATCTTTATATGTGCTTCAGGATAGGCAATAATTTAAGAAGCAGTCAGTTGGTTGAGTTTTCTAAAGTAGGAACTGTAGTTGTTAGCATGTTCTTGTTCGTGTTTTTGTAATTGTGAAATTTAGGATTAATGTTGCATAACTTACAGCCAGGCAATGTATAATGTCAGTTACTATGCTAATATAATGATAGTGATTTTTTTCCCCGCACTTTCATTAAAGGTCATCACCATCATACTTTTAAGTTAAATACACTTTGTCCATCTTGTTAATTTATAGTATGCAGGTTACTGCATGTTTGTTGGGGGTTTTTTTTGGTAATTTTGCAAAAAGTCTTCTTTTATGTTTTTTTAGCTCACCTGAGCAATGCTCAGGGTGAGCTATTGTGATCGCCCTGTGTCCGTTGTCCGTCGTCGTGCGTCGTCAACTTTTCACATAAACAACATCTCCTCTGAAACCAATGACTGCACATCAACCAAACTTTACAGAAATGATCCTTGGGTGGTCCCCTTTCAAAGTTGTTCAAATGGTTCCGGTCTGTTGCATATGTAGGTCACAGGGCCAGAAAAGGATTTCAAAAAACACAAAATTAAAAAATCTTCTTGTCTGATAGTACATGGGCCAGAGCTTTGATTTTTGGTATATGGTATCATCTATGGGTCCTCTACCAAAGTTGTTCAAATTTTGTCCCTAGTGTCAAAATTGGCCCGCCCCGGGGGTCATAGGTTTTTCCTTATATGTCTATAGGTAAATCTAAAAAAAATCTTCTTCTCTGAGTTGGCAAAGGCTACAGATTAGATATTTGGCATGAAACATTGTGTAGTAGACCTCTATCAAGATTGTTCAAATAATGGCCCTAGGGTCAAAATTGGCCCCGCCCTGGGGGGTCATTGATTTTCATTACATACATATAGTGAAAACTTGAAAAATCTTCTGGTCTGAAACTAAATGGCCTAGAGCTTTGATTTTTGGTATATGGTATCATCTATGAGTCCTCTACCAAAGTTGTTCAAATTTTGTCCCTAGTGTCAAAATTGGCCCCGCCCCGGGGGGTCATAGGTTTTTCCTTATATGTATATAGTAAAATCTAAAAAAATCTTCTTCTCTGAATTGGCAAAGGCTACAGATTTGATATTTGGCATGAAACATTGTGTAGTAGACCTCTATCAAGATTGTTCAAATAATGGCCCTAGGGTCAAAATTGGCCCCGCCCCGGGGGGTCATTGATTTTCATTACATACATATAGTGAAAACTTGAAAAATCTTCTGGTCTGAAAGTAAATGGCTTAGAGCTTTGATATTTGGTCTATGGTATCATCTGAAGGTCCAATACCAAAGTTGTACAAATTTTGTCCCTAGTGTCAAAATTGGCCCCTCCCCGGGGGGTCATAGGTTTTTCTAATATGTATATAGTAAAACATAAAAAAATCTTCTTCTCTGAATTGGCAAAGGCTACAGGTAAGATATTTGGCATGAACATTGTGTGGTAGACCTCTACCAAGATTGTTCAAATAATGGCCCTCGGGTCAAAATTGGCCCCGCCCTCGGAGGTCATTGATTTTCATTATATACATATAGTGAAAACTTGAAAATCTTCTGGTCTGAAAGTAAATGGCTTAGAGCTTTGATATTTGGTCTATGGTATCATCTATAGGTCCAAAACCAAATTTGTTCAAATTTTGTTCCTAGAATTAAAATCGGCCCCGCCCTGGGGGTCATTGTTTTTCCCTATATGTATATAGTAAAAACTTAAAAAATCTTCTTTTAAAGAACCCAAAGAGCTAGAGCTAAGATATTTAGCATGAAACATCTTCTAATGGGTGTCTACCAAGTTTGTTCAAATAAAAGCCCTGGGGTCAAAATTGGCCCCGCCCAGGGGGTCATTGATTTTCCCTATATGCATATAGTAAAAACTTAAAAAAATTTTCTTTTAAAGAATGCAAAGAGCTAGAGCTAAGATATTTAGCACGAAACATGTTCAAATGGATGTCTACCATGTTCGTTCAAATAAGAGCCCTGGGTCAAAATTGGCCCCGCCCCGGGGGTCATTCATTAGCTCGACTTTTTTTTTTTTTAGATATATACATATTATATATATACATACATATATATATATATATATATATATATATATATATATATATATATATATATATATATATATATATATATATATATATATATATAATATGTTATATATATATATATATACATATATATACATATACATATACTGGGGTTTAAACTGGCCCCGCTCCGGGGGCCTATATACAGGTGAGCGACTTTGGGCCATCATGGCCCTCTTGTTAAGACTTTGTAAGATGTATATGTTGGAATATTGTGGGGGTTTTTTTTATGTTTTTTTTTATTGCTTAATTGAACATATAAAATCAGCTCCAGAAAAACAAAGATAACTGGCACATTTGTGGCTTCTGATCTTGGCCTGCACTGTTTGTTATTCAATCAGTAGTACTTAGAAATTTTCCCTAAAATGAATGTTTATATCCAGATTGAAAGATAGACAAGTCCATTAAAATATTTAGTGTGGTAAGGGTTTAAAGGGACTCCACTGAGGTTTTTTGGACATGATGGGACTGAAAATATTTTTTCCAGATAAATGTACCATTTGATGTAGGTTTAGACCACTAATCTTTGTGCAAAAGAATTATCTGAGTATTTTAAAGTTTATGTTATTTTATCACTGTTATAATATTGATATAATATTAACTTCTTGTTTTACAGTTCTAGAAAAACACATCCGGGCCCAGTGTTACATTTAAGTGACAATCCATTAGACCCAGGAAAAGTAAGTTTAGTTTTATTGTTTTTGTCCATTTTTTGTTTGTTTGTTTTATACAACAAGCTCAGGATTGAATTTCAATAATGAATTAATCGTATCTGGCCCAATGTCTGTTGTTTGGTGATTTTGGCTGTTCGAAGGTATAATTAGTTTAAGAGGAAGTCTCTCTGCATAACAAACAGGTTTGAAAATGATGTTTCCTTGAAGAGTAAAACTATTCATTACTATTAAGTTATATGATAGACAGAAAAATTTGATTGTTTGAATTGTTTCCTGATTGTTTATTACCATATAACCATGTGTGTTAACATGGTTAAGCATATTGTCCAATTATAACCATGTGTTTTTATAACCATATAACCATATGTATTAAGCATATTGTCCAATTATAACCATATGTGTTAAGCATATTGTCCAATTATTACCATATAACCGAATGTGTTAAGCATATTGTGCAGGTGCATATTTTATGCACCCAAAACTGTTTTTAAAAGATGGTTTTATTTTGTTGTACTTGTGTCAAAGTGAAGCCATTAAGATTTGTAAATACATATTGATTCTAGAATTGAAGTACATATCAATCAGACATATATTTTGATATGCTATTTACAAATGTCTTAGAAAACAGAAGATTTTTAAAGAACATTTAAGGAATTTCAATATCTTTTAATGCATTTTGAAATAATACAAGAACATATATTTTGATTTAGATTTATTGTGTTTATCTGTATAAACTGTAAAGGATTAAAACAAAGAATAGATCTAAACTGACATTATTTCTCCCAGGAGAACTGAAATGAGATTCCTTTACAATTTAAGACAAACCATACACCAATAATTCATTGTTTATCCAACATCATTTGCTATCTGTTGTGAATTTTCAACAAGTTTATATCATGCTCTACTGAGTGACATGGGGAGGGATATTGTTTTGGCATTGTCTGTTGGTCTCTTAGTCATATTACAGAAGAAGTAGGGTTACATTTATGAAATTTGGATGAAAAACAATAAAAGCATTTATTCAGGGAGAGCAAAATTGACAGTACACTACATAGGAAAATTTAACTGGCAATAAGCTGTCTTGTTTGTATTGGGGTTGTTACTGGCAATACATAGCTCTATTTGTCTTCTATTTGTATTAGGGTTGTAACTTGCCATACACTGCTTTTGATTGTTAGATGGTTGTAACTGGCAATACAATGTCTTGTTTGTCGTAGGGTTGTCACTGGCAATAAAAGTAGCTCTATGTTTGCTGAGGGTAATAACTGGCAATAGACTGCTATGTTTGTCTGAGGGTAGTAACTGGCGATAGACTGCTACATTTGTCTGAGGGTAGTAACTGGCAATAGACTACTATGTTTGTCTGAGGATAGTAACTGGCAATAGACTACTATGTTTGTCTGAGGGTAGTAACTGGCAATAGACTACTATGTTTGTCTGAGGGTAGTAACTGGCAATAGACTGCTATGTTTGTCTGAGGGTAGTAACTGGCAATAGACTGCTATGTTTGTCTGAGGGTAGTAACTGGTGATAGACTGCTGCATTTGTCTGAGGATAGTAACGTGGCAATAGACTGCTATGTTTGTCTGAGGGTAGTAACTGGTGATAGACTGCTGCATTTGTCTGAGGGTAGTAACTGGCAATAGACCACTATGTTTGTCTGAGGATAGTAACTGGCAATATACTGCTATGTTTGTCTGAGGGTAGTAACTGGTGATAGACTGCTGTATTTGTCTGAGGATGGTAACTGGCAATAGACTACTATGTTTGTCTGAGGGTAGTAACTGGCAATAGACTGCTATGTTTGTCTGAGGGTAGTAACTGGTGATAGACTGCTGCATTTGTCTGAGGGTAGTAACTGGCAATAGACTGCTATGTTTGTCTGAGGGCAGTAACTGGCATTAGACTACTATGTTTGTCTGAGGGTAGTAACTGGCAATAGACTGCTATGTCTGAGGGAAGTAACTGGCAATATACTGCTATGTTTGAGGGTAGTAACTGGCAATACTCTGACACGTTTGAGGGTAGTAACTGGGTAATACACTGATGTTTATCTGAGGATTATTATGAGTAACTGGCAATACACTGTTTTGTTGTATAGGAGTTATAACTGGCAATATATGGCAATGTTTGTGTGGCAGTTGTAACAGGCAATACACTGCCATGTTAATATTAAGGGAGGGGGGAGTGATGTAATTAGCAATATTGCTCGCCCATATGATAATTTGTGTGGTAACGTTAATACAACTGGCAATATTGAATTAGGGGAATTATAACTGGCAATGTGAAGTACATTAAATTTTACTGAACCATGGAAATTATCATGACTGACTCCTATACAATATTTATCATAATGATATTATGTGGTATTTCTTTTTAACAATTTCCATGGTGTCTTTTCAATTCCTTTCTATCACACTTAAATTAACATTGTCTCACATTATGTATCTGTACATTACACTTTCCTCAGCTATTATGGAGACATTTTACGTCTTACAAACCTTCCTTGTTTCATTCATGGTATTATTTGTATCTTTGTATGTCTAAGACTGTCCGTGCATAAAATTTGAGTGGAATGATAACCTTTATATGCATATATGCTCAAGGTTGCATTTCCCTTTCCCCCCTCATACAATTTGGAGCCAGGATTGTATAGATTTCTGTTTGTTTTGTTCTGTAATATTCTGAAGGACAATGTTGTGTGTGGCTGCAGCAAATAAATTAAGAGACATAAATACAGATTTTTCTGACGTTTTCTGGTCTTTTCCATCATTTGAACTTGACTTTGTTTGCTTAAGCTATGATGAATTCAGTTTTAAGAATTTACGAGAATCATAAATGTATGACGAATGACATCATGAATTTGCTTCCTATTGATTATCCTATTGAATAGAATTCCACTGTTCTAATACAGGCCGTTAAATGGTGATTTTAGATCATTGTATACTTTATTGCAGTAATTTATCTTGCCGAGGGTTTTTCTCCGTGACATGGCTGTCCGGATTTATCAAATTTGTTTTTATTAGAAATATTTATGCAAACAGTGCCAGTTCCAAGCTTAAATCTTTGTTTACTCGCAAATCAATTTGAGAAAGGCAGAATTATAGCATTACGCTTGTAAATCTTGGAGAAAATCGCTGCTAACAACTGCTTTCCAGGCTCTTTCCTGAGAGGTCAATGATTAAAGGGTGAATGCAGTAGCATTAAATATTGAAGAACACTGCGGTATTACTGGGTTAAAACTTGTGATAAATGAAAGTTGTTAAAAGCAACCAAATGAGGAGAAATCTGTAAATCGTTGCTGGGTTGAAAATTACGAAGTGTATTGTTTGTCACCATTATTGATCAAGTGGTAGAGAGAACCAGACTAAAATGAGGTCGAAAGATTTATCTTGCTTATAAGATTTTCTTCGCTTTTACACTTTGATTATCCAAATAATGTTGGAGGAGGAATGTTTTCTCCTTTTAGTAGTTAGGAAATTATGTTTTTATGTATTAATTAATAGTTAAACAGTGAAATTTACTGGGTTTCCTTTTGATTTTCACATGGGTTTTTTGCACTTTTTTGAACTCATCTTTGTAAAATGATTAAATTGACTATTCTGTTGGCTGCCCGGTTCTGAGTGTTCCTTTGATATTGATAACTTTCAGGGGGGGCGTTTGTGGCGTTGCATTCAAATCCCAAAAGGGGACTTTTTCATTTAAGGATTTCATCCAACTAACGTATGGAACGTCACTCTTTCTACTCAGATGCCTACACATGCCTGAAATGAGGGGCATACACCTGAAGTGTTCCTCCACCAGTAAAGGTGGAAAGCTAGTTGCTGTATGACCGTACAACGTAAAACCCAATAAAAAAAAAGATATATCTTACAAAGGACAGCCACCATAACTCAAAACTCAGCAGAATAAGGGTTAAAATTAATGTGTTATTATTTTATAATTGCGATCAGAATTTGTCACCCTTTAGTGTGTTGTAGTTAAATGACTTGTCTTCATTTTAAGTGTATAATTAGCTATATATTTGAAGCTTGTATATTACAAAACTATTGTTAACCAGGTTTTCCGAAGGAAAAAACTGGTTATTAGATTGAGGTATGTCGGCGGGCGGGCGGGTGTAAACAATTTCTTCTGTGCGCAACTCCTCCTACATTTTTCAATGGATTTTGACCAAACTTTCACAGAAGCTTTGTCATCTGGCGCATATTGTCGGGGTTTTGTGATTGGATAATATTTGAGCTAATTGTGGCCCTTTGTTTTTTTTCCTTATTTAGAATATATAGTGAATAATTTCTTCTGTCTGCCCAACTGTTCCTACATTTCTCAATGGATTTTGACCAAACTTTCACAGAGGCTTTGTCATTAAGTGCCCTGGCGCATATTGTCGGGGTTTTGTGATTGGATAATAATTGACCTAATTATGGCCCTTTGTTTTTTTTCCCAATATAGGATATATAGTGAACAATTGTCTGTGCGCAACTCCTCCTACATTTCTCAACGGAATTTGACCAAACTTTCACAGAGGCTTTGTCATCAAGTGCCTTAGGGCATATTGTCAGGGTTTTGTGATTGAATAATTTTTTATTTAATTATGGCCCTTTGTTTTTTCCTTATACAGAATGAACACTTCCTCTGTGGCAATTCCTCCTACATTATTCATGTTTTACATTGCACATAGCTACATTGTTTGTTGCTTGTATTTGTATTTCAAATACAACATATTTATCTACAATGGTGATAATTGAAAACCTGGTTTCATGGCATAATGCCATGTTTCTTGTTTTTAATTTTTATAAAGAATTATTCCAAACCAAATTTTCTTAAGAAGCAATGACAAATGCATTATATCATCGCTAAGCGATTGTAAACGTTGTGCTTAAAATAACAGCATAAAAATTTTGTTCAGGAACATTTTATTTCTGTTGACGTGCAATATTCATGTGTTTTAAAACGAAAGACATTCTAATTGTAACAACTCTTTCGAGAATTGACCATAAATCTTAGGT